ATTGCAATTGTGGTGCCTTTTACCAGTTTCTTTACTAATTGTATTTAGAAAGCCGTAAGAGTATGTAAATGTTCACTATACGTACTAGGTGGGTACATTATTACTTCGTTCGTCAAACGCATTAGAAAAAAAGAAAGGTTGAATGTTCCTGAGACTATTATAGGCGGATCCAGGGAGGGGGGCTGGGGGCCCGCCCCCTCCCCCTTTCGTGGGAAAAATTGTGGTTGATTATATAGGGAATCACTGAAGCATGACTGTAGCGGGGCCCCCTCTTATGGCAGTCAGTCTCCCCTTATTAATATCAACTTAACAATACTTGGAAATAAGAAATGAATCATAGGAACAACGAATAACTTTATTAATTTTTTCCTTCTAGGCAGTAACTGTTGCTTACTGTATCGGGTTTATTCGTCATGTTCATGTTTCTCTAAATTTCGAATTATAATTTGCGTCAAAAATAAATGTTGATACAACATTTATTGGTTTTATTGAGATCTTTATAATCAACTGTCATTCATGATAATTTAAATCTTGGAATATTACCGGCAGAGACATATATATACACATATGTGTATATATGTCTCTGTTATCGGTAATTCATTTAAATAAAATTAAAACAACTTGTTAAACAGGGCGAGGAAACCCCCAATAATACAATACAATACAAAGTTTTTTATTGTCAATTATGACGCCCATACAATTAAGTTCAATTTCATACAAGTGATTACATATTGATTACATTGATTATTAACAATTAAACAAAATCAAGTCTTTCTCAGCAGAATAATTTCTACAGGAATAATATGTATAGTTTTACAATATAATATAGATGGACAAACTACCGGTGACTAAACTGTATCTAGAATTAAATTTCTCTCTTTGAATAAAGTACAAATAATAAACTTACTTTTTTAATTATAACATTATCCTCAGATGACATTAACCATATTAATTTTGATTTATTTGGGAGGCTTTTAAAGTTTTTGTTAACCTTATTTAAGTAATTTATATATTCAGATCTTTTATTTTCTAAAACAGGACACCGAAGAATAAGTTTTAAGGGATAGCAGGTCAAATATCAAGGTCACAGAGGCTTTTACTAGACTGAAATGAGGACAAAATAAATTTTGGTGTCTTAACTATATGTCCAATTTTCACCAAAATTGAATTGAAATTGCCCAATGAGATGACATATACTCCATATTGAATTTGATGTAATTAGGTCAAAGGTCACAAAAGTAATTGCTAAATTTTGTTTCCTGGTGTTATGCTTTGAAAGTATTTCCAATTATTTATCAAACTTGATTTTTTTATAATTGCCAAAAAGATGAAAAATACTATTGATTTTTAGGTCACTGGATAAACGGTCAAGGTTATTACAGCAACTGATAGACTGAAACTGAGGCGAAATTTTGTTTCAGATCACACATCAACCTTCTCCAAACTTATCTTGAAAATTCTCATTCGAAAGAACAAGGCCCTAATGATATTGCGGCAGTTGGTCATGGTAACCGTTCCTATAATAAAACATGCCCACATATATTTTAATGAGAACATTTTCTTTCATTCATCAAAGAAGTTAAAAGAAGAAATGATGGTAGAACGCTTCCTGGGTGTTAAATAAAAAGGCAGAGCATAAGCCAAGTTGCGATCTTTGTGGATTTGTACTAGAAGTAAAAGATTTTTACGGCAAGTACAATTAAGAATGTAAAGTCTGCTGACAATTTATGTCAAATGATGGGAGAAAAAAAAACTGCCCATCTGTTAGTCTATTAATTGCTGCTGTTACCTAAACTTTTGACTCGGAGTGACCTAAATATCAACAGAGATCATGTTCACACTATCAAATAAAGATCTGATTTATGACTCAATAGATGATTGTCCAAAACACAAAAATAGCTTTAAAAAATTCGACATTTAAGGGCAATAGCTCCTATAAGAAGACAACTGATGATTTCAGCCATGTTGCCTTATTTGTACCAATAGATCTTGTCTTGTAGATCTTTTTCGATATATAAATTTCCATCTATTAGTTATAGTTTTTCAAGTTTAGGCAAATACATGTAACAAAAAATAAATTGCTTAGCCGAGCGCAGCTGGATACAACCGCAGAGGTCCAACCCTGAACAGTTGGGGCAAAAATGGACACAATATTCGCGCTTGATACAGGTCTGAATTTGGATTGTAATTAAATATTTGACACATAATAGGTTTCTGACACAGAATAACTGTAGTCAAAGAACTTAGAATTGGTTATATGATATGAATTTATATTCAATTTTTTGCTTTTGTGCAATACACTATGCTGTTTCGAATTGACCCCAACCCCCCTTTTTAATTTCTAAAATCTGAAATGAAAAAAAATTGTCCCTCCCCCCTCACAATTTCTTTTTTACCCCTCCCCCCTTTTTCCCCCCAAAAAAAATCTTTCCTTCAAGATATGGTCATAATCTCAATTCAAATTTCCAATGGAGTTTGCAACCATAATTACCCATTTAAATACATCATAACAGTCTTAACATAGAAAATGACATACATAATCATGGCTAAAATTAATATTCCTTAATCAGCATTTTTTAATAGTAACTTCTAAAAATAAATTGAATGCTAATCACCTCGAGACAATACAACATTTCTTTATACATAATTTAAAAGCAGTGTAAGGGAGGTAATCCAAACATGACATTGTACTTTTTTTTAATTGTCCATTAACCAGGAAACCCTTGTTTTCCCCCCTTTTTTGCCCCTAATTCCTAAACGGTTTGAGCTATAACTCCCCAAAGCCAATCCTAACTATCCCTTTGTGGTATGGAAACTTGTGGTATAATTTCAGAGAGATCCATACACCGTTCCAAAAGTTATTGTCTAGAAACTGGAAAATGCTTATTTGGGCCCCTTTTTGGCCCTTATTCCTAAACTGTTCGGACTATAACCCCCTTTATCAATCCCAAACTTCCTTTTGTGGTTATAAACCTTGTGTTTAAATTTCATAGATTTCTATTTACATTTACTAAAATTATTGTGCGGAAACCAAATGTCTTCGGACGACGCTGACGACGACAAAGTGATACCAATATACGACCGCAAAATTTTTAACCCGAATTATTCAGTCCCTCCCCGTGATCGACTCTCCCACTCATGTTAATGTAGCCATCGTAGAGCAGTGGAATATAACGACTGAATTATTCGGGTTACGGTTGAAAAATTGGTAAAAATTGTCATTAAAGGGCAATAACTCCAATAAAGAGTTGTCTGACGATTTCAACCATAATTCATTTGTAAATCTTGTCTTGCGGAACATTTTTGCTAAATCAAGTTTCTCTCTATTATAGTTAAAATAATAGGCAAAAATGAAAAAATAAGGGTAAAATTCGTCATGAAGGGCAATAACTCTTATAAAGGTCGTCTGACATTTTTGAAGTGAATAAACATTAGGTAGGTCTCAACATTGTGGACACTTCTACCTCTGTATTATATAACCCAATGATGATTATTGCCAAATTTGGTTAAATCTGGCCAAATAGGTTTAGAGAAGATTTTTGTAAAGCTAATGTGAGATGATGCCATGTAGTTTAAACATATTTTATTGTTCAGAAACTAAACAAATGGATGAGACACAAGTAATGTCTTCTCCAGAGACATGTGCCATGTGATGAGAAAAGTCCGCTGAAAATTAGTAAAATTCTCCATTAAAGGGCAAAAACTCCTATAAGTCGTCTAACAGTTTTGATGTAAATGAACAGTTGGAAGATCTCAACATTCTGAACTTATCTACCCTTGTCACATTATCTCTATCTACAGCAGTTTTCAAGATGATAAGACAAAACTTGCACTTTATCCCTAGGTTCTATTTTTAGCCATGTCGGCCATGTTGGCTGGCAGGTGGGGTCATTTCAGAGGAGAAAGATTTTTGTAAAATTTAATGAATGACACCGGACCCCAAGTGACACGAAAACCCCAAAGGGCCAGGTGATCTACAAAGCAGAAGTACCTTTTTTTTTATGAACCAGATATTGCTTAAAATTTTACAAGGATTGGTGCAATTACTCAAAATGTGCTACGACATACAGATAGGCAACTAGGCAACGGTATACCAAAAATTTGTCTATTTAAGTTTAACGAAGGGGTTCACATTTATTTGACTACCAAATAATGTAAAGTTTAAGTGCAACCCAATCTCTATTTTGTGACTATCCAGATTACATAAATAGATTTTTATTATATGTATTATTGATTTGTCATATCCTTGCAAGAAAGCAGATATATATCTGGAATTCTTTACAACCTTAGATAAGGATTTGACTTTTCAAAAACTCAATCATGTCCTGTTTGTTGCTGGTAAGTGGTAATCAGATTTTTTAAAGTTCTTAAATATTTCTATCTTCCAAATTTTGCTGACAGTTATCATATTCATTATATATGTAAAAGTTCTAAAACACTTCTTCAAAGCATTTGAACCCTATGAGCTCTTGCAGCTTCTGAGAATATTTAATAATGACTTGAAAGGTCTGGTACTGTAAGCATTTCATTTTCAATGAACAGCCTTATACAAGAAAAGTTTAATTGCAACCCAATCTCTATTTTGTGACTATCCAGATAACATAAATAGATTTTTATTATATGTATTATTGATTTGTCATATCCTTGCAAGAAAGCAGATATATATCTGGAATTTCTTTTAATAGTTATTCTGAATTATTTACAACCTTAGATTAGGATTTGACTTTTCACAAACTCAATCATGTCCTGTTTGCTGCTGGTAAGTGGTAATCAGATTTTTTAAAGTTCTTAAATACTTCTATCTTCCAAATTTTGCTGACAGTTATCATATTAATTATATGTGTAAAAGTTCTAAAATACTTCTTCATACTGATCATACCTGTAAAGCATTTAAACCCTATGAGCTCTTGCAGCTTCTGAAATATTTAATAATGATTTAAAAGGTCTGGTACTGTAAGCATTTTATTTTCAATGAACAGCCTTATACAAGAAAACACAAAAAATGTAGCACTTTTATTTTATCTATTAAACAATAATGAGATGAATAATGTTGTTATTGAACTGAGGCTAAATAGTCTTTGACTTCTGGTGGGGTCAAACGTCTAAATCCATCTTTATTACATATGCCTATTTCAATATTATCCTCTGTCATTTGTCCTTCAAAACTTTCCTTCAAAGTCAAAATAGCTGTGTGGATTGCATCTTCAAGTTCTAAATTATCACTGTATCTGCAATTACAAGAATGGTTATACATTGTAAGAAAGTTATTGCTGTAAAGTGTATTATTTTTCACAATATCTTGAGCCAAACTTGTTTATGACAAAAATGCAAGGGGATATTTTCTTTATTTTATCTTTGTTATAAAAAAACGAAGAAAAACCTTGCAAAACATTTCCCTATTTACAGCCATGACAGTATGCTATCTGTAACCAGGTAACAGGCATATTCAAATCAAGTCACAGCTCCTTAAAAAAAATATGTTTTGGTGACTTGAAAATAGATCAAGACTTAAAGCATGAAATGGTGCAAATGTTGCATTCCAAAGCTTAAAGAGCTACTCTGCAGTCTATTATACCATACAAGATGGCAACAAAGAAATTGTAAGTTGAAAGGCATTAACATTTCTCGCCATCACAATTTTTCTTTTATCTGATACATTGGAGTGCTAAAATTTTAAAGCAACTTTAGCAACTTGCGGAAATTGCTTTCTACTAAACAACATTTATTTATGAGCCATTCTTTGTTTCATTTCAGCTATAATCTACTCTCTGCATAATAACATGACACTTCCAAGTCATGTTTTGCAGAAATTTAAAACAAGTTTTACCAGGGGGAACTGACATAAACCTGTAAATGCAGAGAATAGGTTTCAAGCATAAACAATGAAGAGCTGTGCCATGAGCGCATGATATGCCCGTCACTTTTTCAACAAATAAAGCTCCATAACTCCTTAATGTCATATCAGAAATTTATAAAAAAATAAAGGGAGCTTATTTTAATAGATATAAAGCAATCACCAAAGTTTCATGAAAACTGCTCAAAGCATTTTTGAGTTATTGTCGGAGTACTGGAAAATCCTCCCTTTTTTTATGAATAAAATCCCATAACTCGGAAACGTAACATCTAAAATTTATAAAAATCGAAAGGTAGCTATGTCAATAGATATAAACAATTCACCAAAGTTTCATGAAAATTGGTTAAAGTGTTTTGAGTTATTGTCGAACATGTTGACGACTGATGGACAACGGTATACCATAATATGTCCCGTAAACGGATGTATAAAAATGAAATAAAACACTTTTTTTATGGTTTAAAATATAAATTTAGGTTTAGTTACTTAAAAACAAGAAAATGTGTCAATAGGACACCATGCCCCACTGGAACCGTTTCACATTTCAATCTTCAGTGAACTGTGAAATCTTGGTCAAAACCCTTAATTGGCTTAATGATATCTATTAAATAGTCTACTTAATAATATATAAACTAAGTTTCAAGTTGATATGACCACAAACTACCTTAAACCAAAACTTTAACATGATACCAGACGGACAGAGGCACAGACTAGAAAAAATAATTCCCCTCTACTATCACAGACATGGTATAAAAATAAAAACTTGCACAAAGCATACAAATTCAATATTTTCAATAAATTGCTTCGCTGAGCGCAGCTGGATATGACCGCAGATGTCCAACCCTGAAAAGTTGGACCAAAATGGACACAATATTCACGCTTGATACAGGTCTGAATTTGGATTGTAACTAAATTTTTGACACATAATAGGTTTCTGACACAGAATAACTGTAGTCAAAGAACTTCAAATCAGTTATATGATTTGAATTTATATTCAATTTATTGCTTTTGAGCAATACACTATGCTGTTGCGAATTGACCCCCCCCCCCACCCCCTACCAAAAAAAATTTATTTTACCCCAGTTTTTAGCTTTTGTGCAATACACTATGCTGTTGAATATTAACCCCCCAAAAAAAATATTTGAAGAAATTTTCTTTTAATTTCTAAAATCTGAAATGAGAAAAATTGTCCCCCCCTCAAATTTTTTTCACCTCCCCCTTTCCCTTATTCCCCAAAAAAATTCTTTCCCTCAAGATATGGTCAGTATCTCAATTCAAATTTCTAATGCAGTTTGCAACCAAAATTACCCATTTAAATACATCATAAAAGTTTTAAAATATAAAATGACATACATAGTCATGGCTAAAATTAATATTAATTTATAATAGTAACTGCTAAAAATAAATTGACAGCTAATCACCCCAAGACAATCATCATTTCTTAATACTTAATTTACAAGCAGTGTAAGGGAGGTAATCATAAAGTGTTCTTTAATTTGAATTGGATTACCTCCCTTACACTGCTTTTAAATTGTCTCAATTGTCCTTTAACCAGAAAAACCCTTGTTTTTCCCCTTTTTTTTGCCCCTAATTACTAAATGGTTTGAGCCATAACCCCCCCAAAGTCAATCCTAACCATCCCTTTGTTGTATGGAAGTTTGTGGTATAATTTCAGAGAGATTCATACACTTTAACACAAGTTATTGTCTGGAAACTACAAAAATGCTTATTTGGGCCCCTTTTTTGGCCCCTAATTCCGAAACAGTTTGGACTATAATCCCTAAAATCAATCCCAACCTTCCTTTAGTGGTTATTAACCTTGTGTTAAAATTTTATTGATTTCTATTTACTTATACTAAAGTTATTATCCGGAAACCATCTGTCTTCGGACGACGCTGACGACAACGACGACGACAACATGATACCAATATAGGACCAAATTTTTTTAATTTTTGCGGTCGTATAAAATTTTTTTAATTTTTGCGGTTGTATAAAAAGTAATTCAATCTAAGTCTTTGATCAATGAGTGAACTGTATGAATAAACTCTAAACCACATATTTTTACTAAACTGAGATGTGATGAATCAACCATGAGAGCTGATCTTATGAACAATATATATAACTATATAACTGACAAATAATAAGGAAACAAATCATTTTACTACATATCTACTAATTAAGGTGGTACCTAACACTACAGGGAGATAACTCTGTAAAAATCAGCTAAAAGCTTTAATCACGTTGTATTGTTAAGGAAATATTAAGCTTCTCAATGATAAAAATTAGTGTTTGTCCAACTGCTATATAACCAATGAAATTTTTCTGATAAAGTGGTTGGTTCAAATTTTTTGAAATTTTTATATTTTTGTCAAAGGGTCAAAGTAAACATTTTGTCAAAATTTTATGAAAATTAAACGAGCCAAATTAATATTAGTCAAGGTGTTGGGTACCACCTTAACTCTAAATGTCTTCAGATTTTTTATGGTAAATTGGCACTATATAGCAGAATCCATCACTGAACCAATCAAGACTATTGCCTATGTCTGAATTGACCTTGATTTTTCAAACTTATAAACAGCAGAAGTTACCTTTTTTCTAAGAATGTTTTCCCATTTACAAAATTCTTTCCCATTGCAGTTGCCTTCCAGGCAAAATAAGCTCCCTGAAATAAAGTTAACATACACATAAAATTATTTGTTTTCTCTGCAACAGGTATTGTTCAATTCATTTTGGCAAAAGTGTTGTATCTTATAAAATCAATTGATTGGGTAAATTATTTGTATTGAATACATAAGTTCTCTGAAAAGAAAGACAAATGACACACAATGCCATTTTCGCATCTTGAATTTGGAATACTAAGAAAAAAATTGTAGCACAAACATATTATCACAAATTATGAGAGAACCTTGAGAACATAAAATCCAAATCCAAGAAAATTTGAATTAAATCGTTTACCACCTCCATGTCTTTGCCATGCAGTCCTTCATTTACATTTCTAACACTTTAACAAATAGGTAACTATACTACAGAATGGTTTAATATTATCAAATTCAACTATTTTTTGTAAAGCTATCAATCAAATGATCCTACTGAGTATGAAAGTTTTTTTTTACTTATAGTTTTTGATTGCATTTAACGACTCAAATCAAAATTTTTGCATTAAAAATTTGGATCTTAGCTCAGGTTGTAAGAAACAAATCTTTGTTTTTTGCCATCCTTTTAAAACATGCAAGGGGTCTGAGAAAATAGGTAATGACTTTGTGTAGACTTAAGAGAAAACTGATTAAAGCAGATATTTTGAACTATCTTACAATTTAAATGAACCAAATAAAAATCTTATTTCTAATGATTAACATATAAATAGACATATATATATATATCTATAGTTTCTTACATCCACAACATTTGTACTCTTAGTTCATAGTTTGTTTCATTGGCAGTCATACTACATTCAAATTATTTATACCATATCATTAAAACAATATTTCTTCTAATAAAAAAATGATTATGTGTAGCCTAAGGTACAATAAAAGTGGACCTATTGGTGTGACTTACTGATGGGTCACACTGATAAAGGTATGGTCTTTCCTCATCTTCATCCCAACCAGCAAGTAAAAGTGAAACACCAAATGGTCGTACTCCACTGAAAATATATGCATGAATGATTTCAGAACACAAAGAAATCTAATATACTTTTTAGCTTCCCCATAATTGTAATTGTTTTTAAATGATTGAACAGAGCTTGGAATATAGACTTAACCAATAGCATATGATTGACATGTGTGTCATAAATAAGATTAAATCACCAATCATAAATTTAATCAAAAGTTAAATTTTCGAAACAGTATAAAAATATCAAGTCAGAATAAATGTTTCGTTTAGCAAATAAATACCACATTTACCATGGAACTTATGTTTTACTATTACACTATTTTACAATTTAGCCTATTTATAAGAATTCAATCTAAGTTTAAGTGCCTATTTGGAGATTTTGATAAAATCATGGTGTTAAAAAAATAATATACCATCATATCACCATTAACAATGTATTATAATTTCTTATCACAGTAGATAAGTTAAAAATTGTATGGAATACACTGAAAAATGAGAAAGCAATTCTTCAACTAATTTATGAAAATGATATTAGAATGTTCAGCAGTCACTATCACATTAAAACTGCATGATTTAGTTTGGCAGATTATAAAAAATGAAACACGTTTTTTTTATATACTTGTACATACATATCTAAACATAAGTCATTTTATAAATGTTTTATTATTCAATGTATGCTAAAATAGAATTTGTGTATACATTAATGAGAAAGCAAAGTACTTGTAAACACTGAAGGGTACAAATTGCATTCATTTTGCAGAAGAAACTAAAAGTTAAGCAGCATGGAAGGCATAACTATGACAACTACAGTTATGATCTAAGGAAGATAACTCCAATTTTAAATATTACTTTAACAATGACATTATTGATTATTGATACCTTTAAAACAGATACTAGATTCATGCACCATGCACAATTTAAGTAATTTCTTGACAAATATGGTTTTACACATACACATAATTTTCAAACAGAGTATATATTTCATTGATTAATTTCTTGAAATGGTCATGCTTAGGATGTATCTAATGTTGTGCTGAATGCAATATGTTTTATAGTGATAAAGTCTGGAAAATATATAACACATAAAGATTTTGATTGCATGAATGCATTCTTTACTCCCCCTTCCAAAAAAAAAGAAAAGAAACATGGATATCATTAAGTATCAGATCATAGAGTATAATTTCAAATGTTTGTATATCTCTGAATACCCTGATTGTGTGTATTCCTGCATGACATTAGCTATTTTATGTACAATCTGTGCTGTGGGTATTTGTTCTTGATAAGACAACTGATACTGCTGAGCTAACTTCCTTGCCGCCTTTAATAAGACCCTGAAAATACAAAATATATACCTAAAAATACACTGTGTCCTGTTTGTAGAATTAACCCTTCAAATATCACATTCAAAAATTATAAATGTGCTAATAGCTTCATTGGGTTTTTATATAAAACAGTTGAACCCAGAAGTCAGAAAATCAAGCCATCTTTTTTCTAATCATTATCCATCTTTTGACGAAGAAGTTTCTACTATTTGATTATTTTGTAATCTGTTTTTGTTCTATGTATACTAGAGGCTCTAAATTGAAAAGACTGTTTCTCTTATTTGTATCTATGACCATTGTTAACAACAACTTTTACATCAACACAACAACTCCATAAGTTCATCAGAAGTTAGCTTTGCAATTAACAGATAATTTTTTGCTACATTTTGAAAATTGATCAAAATCAAGAATTATCTCAAAATTTGGTTTGAGACTGAGAGCCCTGTATTGTAACTGGAACAAAAAGAGGATTTATTTTAAGGAAGCGTGGGTACGGTAATTATGCCTGCAAAGTTCAGTTCACACTGGAGAGGTAAAGTTTCTGAGATATACAACAGACCTTATAGGGAACCTTTGAAGTATCATGACTTATCACACACCAAAATAATTCTTTGGCTTATAGAGAGACCACCAATCATCATTCCTGTATCATGTGTATAATTTGAAAATGATTTTGGCTATTAAGTTCATTTGAGGGGAAATTTGAAAGTTCATCAATCAGAATCAATAATTGCCTTTGGTCATTACTCTTTTGGCTGATCATAACAAAATAAGATATTTTTCAAAGACCATCTATAAATTTTACTGGTGAGTTTGATTTAGACATGTACAAGCCACTTGGTTTCTGAGAAAAAAGATGAAAATAAGATTTCCCAAAAGGTCCAATAAAAACCAATGTGGCATCATTGTTGCCATATCTGTCATCCTTTCTCCACAAATTGACTGCATTTTCATCTTTATATGTACAACTATCATAACTATATACCTGTAATAATCTAATCTATAGTCCTGTCTGGCAAATAAAATCATTAAGAACAAAAAACACCAATGGACAACTTCATTGTACTATAAAATGAAGAAAGGAGATGCACCTAAATGTCCATGAGACAGAAATAAAAAACACAAGATAAAACCATCTAGATGCTACCACAGATCACTCAATGGTGTACAAATAACAAACAGTGAATTTGCCTAAAGTCTCATAAATTTTTTAGACTTTGTTCTAATATACATTTTTTGTACATGTGCACATTTTCATCAAGTTTTTTTTCTGGTTTATATTTCATACAATTCAATGTGTATGAAAACTTTGGTAAGATGCATGTCTTCTACAAACCTGAAATCCGGTCCCATCCCACTGTATACCATGCCTACATTTCTAGTTATCATTTCTATTTTGTGTATACTGTTTTCATCATATAATATGGATTTCTGTTTCTTCTCTGTAGCTAATACCACTCCATTTGTTGCTAAAATAAAAATACATAATTTACATATATTTACTGTGTATTTCATATAAATATCTGTGGTGTAAATGATACTCTGACACAACAACAACAACAACAAGAAGAATAATTTATTCTAAGAGGGTTACACAGTTAGCTATATAACTAATCTTCCCTGAGGCCCTCATCATAAAAAATCAAACAAAATGCAAACTTATACATTGCATACATTAGTATAAAAAGACAAGTATGATAAAAATGTTCAATACAACTTGATAAAATGTTATGAAAAAATAAACGTGATGACATAATCAGTTTTCAATATTTTTTATACAGCTAGGTTGATTTCAATAAATGATCTGTTATTTTGTATTTGAAAGAGTTAACATTTGTAATATTTCTTAACGGTATTGGCAAATTATTCCACAAGAATCGTCCAGAATACATAAGATTTTTTGAACAAATCTGTTTTTGGTTTAGGGAGTATGAGGTTTCCTTGAATAGCATTTCTCAAGGGGTATGGATTTCTGTCTGAAACATAATGAAACTTATTAGTAAGATATGATGGTGCGTCATTTTTTAAGCACTTAAATGTCATCACAAACTTGTGATATCTTATTCTCTGTTCCCATGGACATGACTTCTGATTTGTGTGGCCTGTCATACTTAAGGTACATGTATTTATTTTACGGAGTTTCTTTTGATTACAAATACTGTTACCACATTGATCTCAATGTTTACTTTCAACTCTACCATAAAAATTAATATGAAGAAAAATCCTTATATGATGGAATTTATCACTGTTCATTGAAAAGTAAAGATAAGAGCTACAATGCATGATGTACCTGAAAATGTTTGATGCTTGATACATGTACATGTGATAGTAAGGTTACCAGTTATTTGAATGTTTTGTAGAGCACATATTCACAAAATTTTAAATATTAAAGCTACTGGCTTGATTAACATACATGTACAGAGGAAATTTGATGAAATAAATAAAAACTCTGACAAGGTCATGATGGATGGTGCATTGAAGAAAATCGCATTCAATGGAAAAAAAGATATTGTACTGATAAAAAAATTATAACAGTAGCAATTGGTGCAAATGACTTTTTATAAATTCCTTTTAATGGATTACTCATATTTTTAAGTCTTTCTAAGACATTCTTCCTAACTGATTCATTTGTCAGTACATGTACATTTTTGATAAAATTGGGTGCATGGAATTGTTTATTGAGAGTAGTTATTTAATAGAAAGTACATGTATACCAAAAAAAGTAACCTTTGATGTCTTATGCTGTTTTTTTTGTGTTGTTCTGTTGCTGTCTCATTAACATCATTTGAACATATATCTGTCACCTGTTAATCATTTGTTATTAATTATATACATGTAAAATAGAGTTTCAATTTATTCAACTGTTTTTTAGAAGACATTCTTTTCTCGTATCTCACCACAAGCCTTTGCTTGAATTGCTTAATGAATGCATCATATTCAGCAACAAAATTACACACTCACAAGGTAAAAGTTTGCATGTACATGTAGCCCTTTCCTTACATCTTATTCTATCTCAGAGCTGACAGTTTACTTACAGGGTTCTCCTTTATTTCACATGCTTGATGGAGAAGCAGCAAATACAAATTTAAAGTCAAGTTTTATCTAGCCAAGTATAAAACACACAATCTTCCTGATGAGAGAGTCAGGCTCTACCACAAGACCACAGCATTGGTTTACTTTTCATGGTACCTCATAGTTTTGATGCCTTTAACATAAAAGTTGGGGGCTTTAGCATGTTTAGTATCTAGAAGAATAACGAAAAATAATTCCCTGCCAATAAATTTATTTTTATGATAAAAAAAAAAAAACTGTATCATTTGTACTATATGACACTTGCCTTTAATGCCTACAGATGGTGCTCCTGCTGCTACAGCTGCCAATGCATATTCTATTTGTACCAGTTTCCCTGAGGGACTGTAAAATACATGTATGTAACAATATTTTATTTAGAAGGTTTGAAGAAAATCTTCAACATAATTTTATCACACACTGAAATAAAGTTGTCTACCATTCATCAATTTAATGCCAAACAAGAATAATTTTAAAGTGTTGAATATATTTCATGTCTCAAAGAATATGACAAGCACCAATTAGTTTATCTTTTACCTACTCATTGAATCAACATCTTAGTATTTGGAAAATCTTTAATTATAGTAAATAAGCCTTTGCGAATTCAGCAATTTTTCAATTTACAAAGGCACATAACTCAAGAACAGTGAAAGTGACGCTACCCAAATTAGAGCTTGATTTGTGTTTGGTGGTAATAATTATAAGCATTGTGTATAAGTTTCATAACATTTGGTTTAGGCAAACAAAAGTTAGAATGCGGAAATGGAAAATTAAATTGCTAAATTTTCCTATTCAAAAACAATGATAAAGGGACATAACTCGAGGAAGGTGAAAGTGACAACACCCAAATCCAAACTTGATCTGTGTTTGGTGGTAATAAGCATTGTGTACAAGTTTCATCACATTTGGTTGAGGCAAACAAAAGTTAGTGTGTTGATATGGCAAATTTAGCAATTTTTCCATTTATAAAGGGACATAATTCCCGAATGGTGAAAGTGACGCCACCCAAATATGAACTTGATCTCTGTTTGGTGGTTATAAGCATTGTGTATAAGGTTCATAACATTTGGTTGAGGCAAACTTAAGTTAGAGAACGGAAACTAAAAATTTTGCAATTTTTCCATTTATAAAGGGGCATAACTCTAGAACGGTTAAAGTGACGCCACCAAAATTCAAACTTGATCTGTGTTTTGTGGTAATTAGCATTATGTATAAGTTTCATAACATTTGGTTGAGGCAAACTCAAGTTAGAGAACGGAAATCAATTTTGGGACGTACATACGTACAAGGGTTAAACTTAATGCCCCCTTCGCTACGGCAGGGGCATAAAAACACCAAAAATTTAATTTTAGTTGAAATCAAACAAAGTTTAATTTTGGACCCTTCAAACCTTAATATGGACTTATTTGAAAACAGGGCCCAAAATGAAACAAGAGTACACATGCTGAAATGTCTCACCTTCTTTACTAACCATTGATATTATGTTGATAGTACTAAATATAAAGCGTTACTACAACTATCACATAAACTTAACATGATCCAAGAAAATGAGGTCAAGGTCATATAAACCAAACGAGAAATACATGTACACCTTACAATCATTCAATACACTAAATATAGTTGACCTATTGCTTATAGTTTCTAAGAAACAGACTTCACCATGAAAACTAAACATTGACCAATGAACCATGAAAATGAGTTCAAGGTCAGATGAAAAATGCCAGGCAGACATGTACAGCTTACAATCCTTCCATACAACAATTATAGTTGACCTATTGCTTATAGTTTAAGAAAAACAGACCAAAACACAAAAACTTAACACTGAGCAATGAACCGTGAAAATGATGTCAAGGTCAAATAAAACCTGCGAGACTGACATGTACATCATAAAATATTTCCATACACCAAATATAGTTGACCTATTGCATATAGTATTATAAAAAATAGACTTAAACTCAAAAACTTAACTTTGACCACTGAACCATGAAAATGAGGTCAAGGTCAGATGACACCTGCCAGTTGCACATGTACACCTTACACTCATTCCATACACCAAATATACATGATATAGTAGACCTATTGCATACAGTATAAGAAAAACAGACCAAAACACAAAAACTTCAACTATAACCACTGAACCATGAAAATGAGGTCAAGGTCAGATGACACCTGCCAGTTGGACATGTACACCTTACAATCCTTCCATACACCAAATATACTGCACCTATTGCTTATAGTATCCGAGATATGGACTTGACCACCAAAACTTAACCTTGTTCACTGATCCATGAAATGAGGTCGAGGTCAAGTGAAAACTGTCTGACAGGCATGAGGACCTTGCAAGGGAGGCACATACCAAATATAGTTATCCTATTACTCATAATAAGAGAGAAATTAACATTACAAAAATTAACTTTTTTTTCAAGTAGTCACTGAACCATGACAATGAGGTCAAGGACAATTGACATGTGACAGACACAAACTTCGTAACATAAGGCATCTATATACAAAGTATGAAGCATCCAGGTCTTCCACCTTCTAAAATATAAAGCTTTTAAGAAGTTATTTAACGCTGCCGGATCACTATCCCTATGTCGAGCTTTCTGCAACAAAAGTCGCAGGCTCGACAAAAATTAAATGCACAATAAGATTCAGCATATCATACAGCCGCAATAATTCAGTTTTTAATGAAATCAAACATAGTTTAATTTTGGAGCCTTTTGACCTCAATATAGACCAATTTAAAAATGGGGCAATATCCAACAAAGTAATACATTTGTACAAGGTTAGAACCCCCAAAAATTAAAGACTTTAAATTAATCCCATTGAAATTGGTTATAAGATTTGTATTCATTTTCAATTGAAGATTTCTTGCTATTGCAAAAATTTCTAGCCATCAATGAAGATTTCATGGCAAAATTGGGTCTCAAAGTGGGGAGGAATATTCTCTCTTAAAGTCCATACAAAAAAAAAATGGCTTCAGCATTATGATGTTGTTGGACGGCGTTACAGCAAAAAATTATATCCTTCAAAACGTTGTACTCATGAATTCTAGTCACTTAGGCACCTGGTCAAATCAGCACCAGTTATAATTAAATAGGCACCTAGTCAAATCGGGATGGTTAACACCCAAAATTAACATTATGTTTTGCAAGTAAGATATTGAAGACTCTTTTTTTCCCCATAATTTTTAAAAATATTTTCACTCAAGGTGTCAACGTCAATTTGATGCACGTAACAGAAGTTCCAATCTAAACTTTGTTATAAACAATGGAGCCATATGATAATATCTGTTCCTATTGGAACTTATATTATAAAGCAACCTCTATTTCATGGCAACTGCACATTACTAGTAAACATGGGCTACAAGATTGGTGCCAACATTATTCATTTATACAAGTAGACAGGAAATGCAGAAAAAAAAACAATTCAGATTACAACATGTACAATGATTAAATTAGTTTTTATCCTCATTTGTGTATTAAACAACAGCTTGCCTAATCACCATGATCATGATGATCACTCCTCGTTTAAATTTTTTTTTAATTATAAAAGATCGAAAACTACCTGAAAATTGTTAAAACAACAAACAGGTTATTGTTTGCAATTGATATATAATCCCAACCTTCCTTTTGTGGTATAGAACCTTCTGGTAAAATTTCATAGAGATCTATTCACTTAAACTTAAGTTATTGTCCGGAAACCAAATGTGTCTTTAGACGCCGACAACGATATCATAGCATTATACGACGCAAAAAAATGTTTGCAGTCGTATAAAAATGTGTTGTTATATCAATTGAATGTTCTGGAAATTCTGATCCTTCAAATTTTACAGAGTTTGGTATTTTATACTCTCTGAAAGTGAAGGATCTTGGGAAATCTTGGAAACCATTTCAAAAACAAAGTAGATCATTGCACTTCTTGGATGGGAATTTTTAAAACTTTTTACATCATTACTTTGGGATATTTCTGGAAATATTCTGCACCAACAAGCATGACAAGCAAAAAGTTAGAATTTGTTTATATGCAAAAATTTCTAGCCATCAATGAAGATTTCATGGCAAAATTGGGTCTCAGAGTGGGTAGGAATATTCTCTCTTAAAGTCCCTACGAAAAAAAAAATGGCTTCAGCATTATGATGTTGTTGCACATCGTTACAGCAAAAAATTATATCCTTTCAAAACGTCGTACTCATGAATTCTAGTCACTTAGGCACCTGGTCAAATCAGCACCGGTTATAATTAAATAGGCACCTAGTCAAATCGGGATGGTTAACACCCAAAATTAACATTATGTTTTGCAAGTAAGATATTGAAGACTCTTTTTTTCCCCATAATTTTTAAAAATATTTTCACTCAAGGTGTCAACGTCTATTTGATGCACGTAACAGAAGTTCCAATCTAAACTTTGTTATAAACAATGGAGCCATATGATAATATCTGTTCCTATTGGAACTTATATTAAAGCAACCTCTATTTCATGACAACTGCACATTACTAGTAAACATGGGCTACTAGATTGGGGCCAACATTATTCATTTATACAAGTAGACAGGAAATGCAGAAAAAAAACGATTCAGATTACAATGATTAAATTAGTTTTTATCCTCATTTGTGTATTAAACAACAGCTTGCCTAATCACCTGACCATGATCATGATGAATCGATCACTCCTTCGTTTAAATTTTTTTTTTAATTATAAAAGATCGAAAACTACCTGAAAATTGTTAAAACAACAAACGGGTTATTGTTTGCAATTGATATACACATGTAAGTTCACAAGTTTTTAAAGTGATTACCAATCAAAACATTAATCATTATTCATGTTATTAATTAATAGAGTATTGAGAAAATTTCAAACAGAAAGCCAACTGATTATAATTTGTTTATTGCGTATTCTTAATTACATGTGCTGAGATTTTAACGATGTACGAAACGAACCTCTGAAATTGTAAGTTTTGCCAAAAAATACATATATTCATGGCGATGACAATGCAGAACTGAACAGTGCAACTAGAATACATATAGTTTTGCTGTAGAATTGCAGAAGACTCTATAAATTTGAATTCTTATTCGTAAACGATACTCTTTTTGACTGACATTTTTGGTAAAATAATGTATCAATAATGCTCAGAATACCTAAAAGTTGTAAGAGAAAAGCTGTATCGCTCAGACATTGCTGTATTTTGTTAGGGTACCGGCTAAAATAAAAGCACAACGGCGATTGGACGAATTTAGAAAATGGACCAATCGACAGAAGTCTTCTTTCTTCGACTTTAGAGGAAATACTAACTGGTTCAATTTTGATATATTTATCGTCATTTGAAACCAGTCGAAATAAACATGAGCCTGCTAACACGGCTTCATCTTTCAGTGCAAAGACTTGAACAGTATTTACAAAAGCTAACAGCAACATATATAAATAACCAAAGTAAGAATTAAAAAAATGTCAGGTCGGTTTTATGCAACACGCATAAAAATATCACATCTTCATGGGATTTTGATATTTCAATTTTTATTGGGGGGTAAAGTTTTGCAATTACTTTCAAAAACATGAAACAACTAATACAATACAAACATTTATTAGGCTAATGAAATGGATTCACACAACACAATAGTTCAATAATAATCGATAAACAAATTTAAGAATAACCAAGATAGAAATTCAAAAATTGTTAATACATATCGTCTTGGTACCTGTTTTGACGCGGACCAGAAATGACGCACCGATTTAGTTAACGGTTTTATATTTCTAAACAAAAGCTGTGACGTCATCAACATTTGCTGTTCATAACATGATGTTGAAGGTCATCTGACTACAACAAAGATGCCTAAAACTCTGCCCAGAAATGTTATTATTGCTAAAATATTAAAGACAATGCAATTTCCGCCATTTTATTAAGGTAAAAAAAATTCTACCCTTCCCCGAAAGATTATCAGTCCTATCTCCACTTTGGTCAAGAAAAGTATGTAACCATATGCTTCCCCATTTTGTGTTTTTCAAATCCCGTGACTGTCATGTGACATGGTTTTATATTTAAGCGGGAATCACTGTAGAACAAATGATCGTCTCTTATATAATTTTCTATGGTTTATCGATTTTTTTTCATTCAATGTATGAAGTATACATTGATAAATGTATTATTGTCAATGTTGTTTTATGAATGCAATTACTTTTTATTTTCAAATATATGGAATATGTATATCACTTTCATAAATTTTGAACAATTATATACCAAAATATAGGTTACATTAAAATTGATTAAAAATTTGGTGTTACAATCATCATGATCATTAAAGTGAATGAAAATGTCAAAAGTTGTTAATAAAATTGAATCTGTTGCACAGTTTTAATTTTAAAGAATCCGGATTGAAGCAATTTTTCGATTATCAGTTACGTGCAAGTGGTTTTTACTGGTTTGTTTACAGTGCGTCATTACTGGTACCCATCATTAGTTGGCAGTCCATTTGTAATGTTAGCAAACATGAATTTTATTGCTATTACTGTTTCAAATATCAACTGTTTAATGATTGAAATATAATAACAAGTTCCCAATCTTTTATTCCATTCCGTTTTTCTAATTCTTTGAAATGGTAGATTAAATGCAGAAACAAAACAACCTTAGGTGCGTCATTACTGGTTCCTCGGGGATAATTAAGGTTCATCTAGTCCAAATAATTATGACGTCTTGAAAGGCTATTATATTTTTTTTCTTTGACGCCTTACATCGACAGGAAGGCGTCAAAGCAAAAATTTAAAATAGCCATCCAAGACATAATAATTTGGACTAAGGTTCATCATAACAAATGGAAAAAATGGCTGTATTTCCACCTCAGTACAGACTTACCTGTCCAGTTGGAAAAGTTTTAAGGATGGCATCCACTAGATATTGTTTTTGGATTTTGATGGGCATTTTTTTTCCTTTCTGCAGAAGGTGTAAAAATAAACAAACACCTGAATTATATATAATATGCTTTGATACTGTCCACTCAGTTAAACCCTTTAACTCACCTATAGTTGTGTAGATACCTATTGTCTGTCTATTGTCCATGTCAATCAAGGACAATCAATACAATACAATACAGTTTTAACCTGAGAGGGAGCATCTCAAAGTTGTATCCCAACTTAGTTTATTTTTACACCTTCTGCCTGAACAAAAAAAAAATGCCCATCAAAATCCAAAAAAAGATTATATCTTTCTGAAACACAAAATGCACTTCAATTTTATATATTTAGTGGATGCCAGGCCTTAAAAACTTTTCCAACTGGACAGGTAAGTCTGTACTCGGAGTAGTTTTTGAGGTGCAAATACAGCCATTTTTGTCCATTTGTTAGGATGAACCTTAATTAAACCTTAAAACCAGTAGAAAAATATAATGTAATACCCATTTATAAATAGGGCACAGGTGGGCGGGTTAAAAATGTTCTCTAAACTATCGAAATTGTTGATTGTCGCTTCAACTCAAAATTCAAAAATAATATAATAAGATCTAAGTGTTTACAGTGTGAAAACAAACCTTGGAGTGAAGAAAAAAGGTATGTAATTTAACAGGTAAATGATGAAAGTGAGTAGAATTCAACTGATAATCCAATAAGAAAAGTTATGACAAACTTAGGATGACGAAAATAAAAAGCAATTAAACAAATTAAATTCGTTAAGAGCAGAAAAATATAAAATCTAGCAAGAATTGAAATTTCTTTATCAGTAATTAATCATTTTTATTAAAATAAAAATTTCCAAATCAAAACCTTTATGTGGCTGGATTGATAGTGCTTTGTATCTGTATCTATATACTTGCACAGTATAGGAACTGTTCACCATTTTGTACGCACTTGAAGGAGAGCAGCTGGACTTAGTCCAACTGTCAGAGGGCGTGTCTAAAGCCCTCTTCTGTCTTTTATGCACTTACATGTTCAATGAAGTTCTATCTTCTAGGTAGTTCCAATCGATTATAGTTTTTGCAAAGAATGAGTGTTTCAGTGTGGTTTGATAAGTCTTTGAGTTTTTTGTTTCTACAGTACAGTTAAAGCGAACATGTTTCCAAACTCCATACACCGCAATTATTCATGGAGTGACACCAGGAAACTCCGATATCCCTCCCTAAATTCTCGGAGAAATTTGGGAGTATTCCTTTATGGATCTGAAAGTTATCAAGGTTAAAATTTTGTGGTCAAATCCGTGTCTCAGATACTTTAAGCAATAGGTCAACTATTGTAAGGTGTACATGTCAGACTGGCAGGTTTCATCTGACCTTGACTTCATTTCCATGGTTCATTGGTCAGTGTTAAGTTATTGTGGTTTTGTCTGTTTCTCAGATATCTGAGTAATAGACCAAACCAGACAGGCATGTAAACCTTCCATTCATTCCTGAAAAAAATTACAGCTTATACTATAAGCAATGGGGCCACTATATTAAATGAATGGAATGATTGTAAGGTGTACATGTCTGTCTGGCAGATTTCATCTGACGTTGACCTCATTTTTATAGTTCATTGGTCTATATTAAGTTTTCATGGTGTTGTCTGTTTAACGGATACTACAATGTACTATAAGCAATAGGTCAACTATGTTTGGTGCATGGAATGATTGTTAGGTGAACGTGATAATTGTCTGTCTGGAAGGTTCAGCTGACCTTGACCTCATTTTTATGGTTCATTAGTCAATGTTAAGTTTTCATGTTTATGTCTGATTTTCAGATACTACATGTATTAGCAATAGGTTAGCTTTATTCCATGTATGGAATGATTGCATGGTGTTCATGTTTTATGGCAGGGTTCATCTGACCATGACCTCATTTTTATGGTCCATTGGTCAATGTTTGGTTATTAGGTCAGTTTCTCAGATGCTACATGTATTAGCAATAAGGTAACTTTATTTGGTGTATGGTATGAGTGTAAGTTGTACATGTCTATCAGGGTTCATCTGACCTTGACCTCATTTACATGGATCATTGGCAATGTTAATTTTATGTAATATTGGTAGTAAAACCTTCATATTTCAAATATTTTTCAACATAAATTCAATCATAATTAGTAAAGCAGGCAAGACATTTCAGGTGTGCACTCTTGTTTTATATTTTACATATCGTAAATGTTAAAAATGAGGCAAGACTATGAGAATAACTTTATAAAAATTATAATCATTAATGTGTTGGATATATATTATATATGCAAGTTTATTACTTCAGGCTAATTAGATCACTGAAGTTTAATTAAGTAACAGTACATGTTTTCTGTTTGACACCCAAACTGTATTAAGCCATTTTATTGACAAAATTGATTTTTTATTGCCCATTTTATTTGCTGATCATGACCAACTAGGACATGTAGGAAGTAAATCTGAGATCAATTTTGTAAATTTTGTTGATCTAATAAAAATCAATACTATTACAATTGACAACAAATGCTTTAGAGCACTGGGATAAGTTAGGTTTGTAAATTTCATCCAATCCATGTAGTTCCTCTCATTAACAGGTACACATGTCACAATGACATCTTGTATCTTTAATTAATAGCTGTAAAGACAGTCAGTGAATGGTTGAGGATTAGGAGGAAATAAATCATGTTCTCTTTTCTAACTAAAAAGGCACAGGGGCACTCAAAAGGGCACAGAATAGGAAAATTTCAGGGGCTGGGTGTAGCATCTCTCTATTTTCTCCTAATTTGGTAACAGATTACCTGAGAGGAACATCTTTAAAATTTTACCCAACTTATAAAAGATAAAAAGATTTGGTATGCTTTAGTTTATTTTGACACCTTTCATGCCTTTTGTAGTGATGAACAAGAATTCACATCAATATCATTGAAATTTTTTATTTTCTGAAAGGCAAAAATGCAAATAACTTTTATATATCTAGTTCTTAAAAACTTTTCCAGTTGTAAAAGTGTGTCTGTACTCTGAATGAATGTTTATGTATAAACACAGAGCTATATTTGCCAAATGGTTATGATGAACCTTTAATAGCTAACAAAACCCATCAGTCTTAATCATATTATGAATACAAAATTCAGTGAAGTTTTAGAATGTCAGTAAACCTAGGACTTTCAATGAGGAGAGAGGCGGCTTAAAGTGGTAAAAGACTAAAACATATTGAAATAAAAAGCAAAATCGTTGTTATTTGAATTTTTTTGTGTTCATTTTAGTCAATACATGTATGTTTTACTTATTCCTATTTGAGATCCTTAAGTGTTAAACCTGTATACCTGGGATTTATCAACACTTGACCAACTGGCATCATAAAAACAATCTACTTTGACAAAAAGTGACAGTCTCACTTGTCTGAATGGAATAGTTACAAAAAAAAGGATACAACTGATCTTATTTGAATAAAAAATACAACAGAACAATATTGGATTTAATTACACATCCTTGCATGGATTTATCAACTTTCCTTTCATCATCAGTGGAAGTTGCATATTTTAAGTCAAGAAAATATACATGTATCCACCAAGATTGGCAAATATCTTTTAAAATACATTCAGGTCTATTCATTCCCCCTTTCACTCCAAATAAACTTATGAAGTATAGCATTTATTGATATTACAGCAATTCAGAAATAAAATTGTTTCACAAATACTGTAAATTCAGAAATTATTTGGAGCATTTATTATTGCGATTCTGTCACGACCAACTTAAATCCAAGATTTATTATTGCTTGTATCAGATACAGAATGCAAGTTCTTATTTTTGTGATAATCAATCACCCAGTTGCATTATTTGCATCAATAAAAACCTCACAATAATTTCTGAATTTACAGTAATAACTTTAGTTGTGATTGAAGCCCATTTTACATGTGCTTCCGTCCTAAGATAGGTTACAAGCGCTACAAAAAGCTCACTTTTTACATGTAGCTTACCTGGCCCGATGGGCCAAATGAGCTTTTCTCATCACTTGGCGTCCGTCGTCGTCGTTAACTTTTACAAAAATCTTCTCCTCTGAAACCACTGGGCCAAATTTAACCGAACTTGGCCATAATCATCATTGGGGTATCTTGTTTAAAAAATGTGTCCGATGACCCTGCCTGCTGACCAAGATGGCCGACATGGCTAAAAATAGAACATAGGGGTAAAATGCAAGTTTTGTCTATTATTTTGAAAACCATTATAAACAGACAAAATCTGACAGGGGCAAAAATGTTCATAATGTTGAGCTCTACCAATTGTCCGTATACATCAAAACTGTCAGACAACTTCTTATAGGAGTTATTGCCCTTAAATGACAAATTTTACCTTTTTTTTTCATTTTTATATGACCGAAAAATTTCTTTAGGACAATAACTTTAGTATATGTAAATAGAAATCTATGAAATTTAAACACAAGGTTTATAACCACAAAAGGAAGGTTGGGATTGATTTTGGGGGTTATGGTCCTAACAGTTTAAGAATAGGGGCCAAAAAGAGGCCCAAATAAGCATTTTCTAGTTTCCAGACAATAACTTGTGGAGCGGTGTATGGATCTGTCTGAATTTATGCCACAAGTTTCCATACCACAAAGGGATGGTTAGGATTGGCTTTGTGGGGTTATGGGTCAAACCGTTTAGGAATTAGGGGCAGAAAAGGGGGAAAACAAGGGTTTCCTGGTTAATGGACAATTACTTTAGCTTTGTTTCTTTATGATGGTACTTTTTGCTATTTGTTTGCTAGTTCTAGTATGAAATATTTTTTAGCTGTTTCTAGAAATATCAAATACTGTGATTTAAATACATATAATATTATAATAGTGTATATCAAAGGGTTCAGTGGTAATACATTTTTATACTCAGAATTGGTTATTCTTTGTTTGGTTTTTTTTTACATTAGATTTACCTCCCTTACAATGGTTTTGTTTTACAGAAATTTGTATTCTCTTGAGGTGATTATCTGTCAATTTATTTTTAGAAGTTACTTTTAAATGCTGATGAAGGAATTTTATTTTTAGATATTACTATAATGCTGATGAAGGAATTTTATTTTTAGCTCACCTGGCCCAAAGGGCCAAGTGAGCTTTTCTCATCACTTGGCGTCCGTCGTCCGTCGTTGTCGTCCGTCGTAGTTAACTTTTACAAAAATCTTCTCCTCTGAAACTACTAAGACAAATTTAACCAAACTTGTCCACAATCATCATTAGGGTATCTAGTTTAAAAAATGTGTCCGATGACCCCGCCTGCGAACCAAGATGGCCGACATTGCTAAAAAATAGTACATAGGGTAAAATGCAGTTTTTGGCTCATATCTCTGAAACCAATTTTCAGACCAATCAGGCAACACGTTGTTGGGTTGCGACCCCTGAATTGGTAATTTTAAGAAAATTTTGCAGCTTTTGGTTATTATCTTGAATATTATTATAGATAGAGATAAACTGTAAACAGCAATAATGTACAGCAAAGTAAGATCTACAAATAAGTCAACATGACCAAAATTGTCAATTGACCCCTTAAGGAGTTATTGCCCTTTATAGTCAATTTTTTACAATTTTCATAAATTTTGTAAATTTTTGTAAATTTTTACAAAATATTTTCCACTGTAACTACTGGGCCAAGTTCATTATAGATAGAGATAATTGTAAGCAGCAAGAATGTTCAGTAAAGTAAGATCTACAAACACATCACCATCACCAAAACACAATTTTGTCATGAATCCATCTGTGTCCTTTGTTTAATATGCACATATACCAAGGTGAGCGACACTGGCTCTTTAGAGCCTCTAGTTAGATATTACTATAAAATGTTGCTGATGAAGGAATTTTATTTTTAGATATTACTGTTAAATGTTGCTGATGATGGTTTTTTAGCCATGATTATGATGTCCTTTTCTATTTTAATACTTTTATGATGTATTTAAATCAGAGCCAAAAACAAGCATTTTTAAAGTTTCCAGACAATAACTTATGTTTAAGTGTATGGATCTCTCTAAAATTGTACCACAAGGTTCCATACTACAAAGGAAAGAATGGGATTCAGTTTGATGGTTAATGCTCCAAGGGGGGTTCAAAAAGTTTGAAAGGGGGGGGGGTCCAATTTTTTTTAAGGGGTTCACATTTTTTTTTCAGCATTTTTCAAATTTCAAATTTTTGAAAAGTTTCAAGAAGAAATCTTCAATTGCACAGTATTGTGAATTAGATTTGTAAAATGTTTGACCACATTTATTTTGTGTCAAAAACCTATATTATGTCAAAAAATTTGATCACAATCCAAATTCAGATAGTAGTCTGTATCAAGCTTGAATATTGTGTCCAAATTTGCCCCAACTATTCTGGGTTCAACCACTGCGGTTGTATCAGGCTGCGCTCAGCGAAGCATTTTATTGCATATTATCTTGAAAACTATGATAGATAAAGAGAAACTTTAAGTTGCCAAAATGATCAGCAAGACAAGTTCTACAAATAAGTCTGCATTGTTGAATTTGTCAATCGACTCCTTTTTAGAGTTATTACCCTTTGATGAAGATTTTTACCCTTATCGTTTTTGCCTTATATCTTAAAAATTATAATAGATAGATAGAAACTTAAATAAGCAAAAATGAATAGCAAGACAAGATACACAATTAAGACAATTTGTTGGAAATCGTCCAGCAACTTTTTATTGGAGTTATTGCCCTTTAATGATGATTTTTACCATGTTTTGCCTTATATGGTAAAAATTGTGATAGATAAATAGACACTTTAAATCACAAAGATGATTAGCAATGCAAGATCTACTTACAAGTCAAATTTTACTGATATAGTTTGTAGACTGTCACTCTTTAAAGGAGTGATTGCCTTTAAATGAGGATTTTTTTTACCCTCTTTTGTGTTTTGAGCAAAAACTAAAGAAGATTGAGAGATACTAAACAGACTAAAGGATCAGTAATACAAGATCAACAAAACAGAGATTTTTGTCATGAATTCTATTCTCGTCTACAAAGTTGGAGAGTTTCCTTTGTTAAATATGCACATAGACCAAGGTGAGCGACACAGGCTCTTTAGAGCCTCTAGTTAATTTTTTTACATAATCTTTATGTTCTAAATAGCAAATCTCTTTAATACTTTGTGTACAATTGTTGTATCAGTTTATATTTATGATTTCTACTTTCAGCACATTTTGGCTTAGCTATAGATACACCTTCAACAAATGGAAGATTGGACAATGGCCATGCTGAGCAAAAGTCTATTTTGGATGAAATCTTTTCTCCAATAGATTATGCAGTACCTAAATTTAGACGATCACGTGAACGTAGAATGACACGGCAGTTTGGGAAACATCAAATGGAAAAATATATTGATATCAAGAAAAGTTTGATTATGTGTCTTGAATGTGGTCATTGGCATGAAAAGAGAACAATTTGTGGTAAGTTTTGAAGTTAATGAAAGAGGAGGAATAGATGGTTTATTTATTCATGACACACTTGAAATAGCAAATTAAAGGAGCAACAGTGAGGTGTTCACCACAAAGCAAAAGCTTACTCAAGACCGCCCCTAGCACCTTTTTTAGTTGAATTTTTGCCAGATGGCCTTGACGCTGCAATGAAGATCATAGACAAATGATAGATGTGGGGTAATATCAACAGATTACAGACTAATACAAATAAAGAAATCAAACAAATATGTAACAATTTCCTTCACAATCTCAATGTAAAATGCAGAACTATACAAACATTTAGACAACCATGGACCAAATTTATTCAAAATATTTGTTAGATAACCTTGGCAGGAAATACTGTATGGATAGGGCAAATAATTTGGATGGACTGGTAAAACAATTAGTGCGGTTTTTCATCTCAAAGCTACAGTGAGACCTAGCCCTTCAACACAGGATTAAAAGCTCACACCTCAAAGCATGTTCAAAAGGTCCCTAGCACTGATTTGAGCAGAATTATTTGCTATATTTGTCCATAACTTTACAACTGTGAACTGAAGAACATACTTAAACTATAAATTTAACCATGTCAAAGTGATTTATAAACAAAAGGCATACAAATTTTGATGTTGCTGTTCATTTTATGCCCTTACATTTATAGTATAGAACTTTTTTTTTGTAGCATTGTTTACTTTAAATTTTATGACTCTGATTATAATAACAAAACCTTCTTCAAGAATTGATCGTTAGTAAGATTTTTAAAACATCTTAGATCTAATAAAATTTTACTTCTAAGATGAATAACCAGTTGTGTCTGAAATATTGTAAAATTTATCTTGTATGCTAAAAAAATGTCCTGTTGCCTATTTTCAGGTACTTGTTATGAAAGAGTTAAAGAAGAAACACAAGAGATGAAAAAAGAATTGGGCGAGGCCATGGAGTATACACCTGATCAGAAAGAAATCATGTTTGTTTATGATGGTGAAGAGAAACCTACCTTTGAAGGAAAACATATTGTGGAAATGAAAAAGCCTAGACCTAAGTGGTTTGCTGATGCACTGTTGACAAAAGTGAAACCATCAAATAATTAAAATTCAATAAAAGTTTTGTTATGTTTTACAATTTTCTTTCACCTTTACCTTATCTGATTTTGAAATATATGTCCACTATACATTCAACTTGCCATAGGTTATATATCTGTCTCTTAATATTCATTTAAAAAATGTTTATAAAACAAAAAAATCAAAAACCAAATGATATTATTTTGTGATCACAACACATGATTCTGGAATAACCTTCATCAAGTCTCATGACCAAAAGTTTCGACAAAGCCTTAGTGGTATTGTGGTTTCATGCTCCCTCGTGTGATGATTAAAACTATTATGGGCTAAATCATAAACTTGAACATGGTATTTGCTGCTCCTCTATTTAATAAGCATGCAGTCTTAAGGAATAAAAATCAACTTAAGGGTTGGCTTAAGTCATAATAATGTGTCCAGGTAAGGTGACTTGACGTCCAGCAAACAGTTACTATGTGAACTACCACATTAAAATTTTGCTCAGAGTGTAGGTCTAGTACAAAGCAGGTTCATATCACATTAAAATGTTCTTGTCCTGATATGCATGTAATAAATGGATGTTAAAGACCAATCTATCAATCTAAAAAGTTAAGAAAGGCAAAATATATAAGTTGTGCTGGAGCATAAAAACAAAAAGAGCCTAAAGAGAACAGCCAAATTAATCTGTGTTCAGCTTTGCCAGAGAATATTACTTGTTACATTAGTATTTTAGTACTGGAAATTTATTATGAAATCATGCCAATTCTTATAAAGAACTGGGCCTTAGGAAGATGGCACCCTGTGAACAGCTGTTCCACTGGCACTGTACTGGCCCAGTGATTATATAAAAAAAAAACAAATGACACAATTTCATTGTGCACAACACATATTTCTGGAATAACTTTCATCAGATACCCTGAAACTAAAAGTTTGGAAAAATTAAAAAAGGGGCCTAAATAGAACATCAAGAACTGTCTCAAGGTCAGCTTGCCTGAGGGAATTATGTCTTATTTGTAGCAGTTACAAGGTTATATCCACCATGTTTAACCGACATTGACAATACCTTCATTTTTTAATTGTTGTTTTCTGTATTATTCTGATTAAAACCCCTGAAATTTTGACTGTCAAATTTGTTTAAATCTTCTCTGAAAATATGAGCTGAATTGCAATTATTTTGAACCCTGGGGAATACTAACTAACACAAAAGCCATCTGATGCTCAAGTCAGAAATTTCCATTTCTTAAGCAGTTGAGGGGTTGATTTACTTGATGAGGAATTCAGGTTCTACAAGCCTATAACTAGTTTTACCACATTGAACATTTGATTATGATACTATAAAAAGTAGATCAACAATATTTGATGAATGGAATAATTGTACATGTTTGACAGCAGGGTTCTCTGACCTTAACATCAATTACATGGATCTTTTATCAAGTAAAGTTTATGTGATACTTGTAGTAAAATCTTAATCTCAAAGACTTTCAACATAAAATCAATCATGATCAGTAGCAGGCGAGACATTTCAGTGTGTGCCACTATATTCACTTTGTGAACATCTATTGCCTCTATTTTTAACCCCCTACTCAAAGATGAGGTAGTATACTGCATTGACCTTGTCATCTGTTCATCCTTAAATAATTTTCATTACACATTACTCACTTTCTGTCACTACAAACCAGTAAAAGTCTGAAATGGCCTATATCTGTACTCAACTGTACTGATTTTTACTTGACCAGTCTGAATTGGTCTGAATCTTAATTGATATTATGTGTTATTCAATGATTTGATATTTCATCTGAAAATTTATAATGATGTGTTGTTCTGCACAAGGGATTTCCAGATCTTCAGGATAGTCACTTTCTGATCAACTATACTTAAAAATTTTTATTATTCCCATTGAGCAATTTTTATACGACCACAAAAAAAATTATATATTGGTATCACGTCGTCGTCCGAAGACAGTTGGTTTCCGGACAATAACTTTAGTATAAGTAAATAGAAATCTATGAAATTTTAAACACAAGGTTTATAACCACAAAAGGAAGGTTGGGATTGATTTTGGGGGTTATAGGCCCTAACAGTTTAGGAATTATGGGCCAAAAAGAGGCCCAAAAAGGCATTTTTCTAGTTTCCAGACAATAACTTGTGTTTAAGTGTATGGATCTCTCTGAAATTATACCACAAGTTTCCATACCACAAAGGGATGGTTAGGATTGGCTTTGGGGGGTTATGGCTCAAACTGTTTAGGAATTAGGGGCAAAAAAGGTTGAAAAAACAAGGGTTTCCTGGTTAATGGACAATTTAAAAGCAGTGTAAGGGAGGTAATCCAAAAACAAAATTGTACAATGTTGTACAATGTTGGATTACCTCCCTTACACTGCTTTTAAATTATCTATTTAAGACTTTTATGATGTATTTAAATGGGTAATTATGGTTGCAAACTCCATTGGAAATTTGAATTGAGATTATGATGACCATATCTTGAGGGAAAGAATTTTTTTTTTTGGAAAAGGGGATGGGGGTTAAAAGAAATTGGGGGGGGGGAGCAATTTTTTCTCATTTCAGATATTAAACAAAATTTCTTCACATATTTGGGGATTTTTTTGGGGGGGGGGGGGGGGGTCAATACACAACAGCATAGTGTATTGCACAAAAGCAAACAAAAAAGGGGGTTAATTTTTATTTTCATTTTTGGGTGGGGGGGGTGTCAATTCGCACAGGCACAGTGTATATCACAAAAGCAAAAAAATGAATATAAATTCAAATCATATAACCAATTCTAAGTTCTTTGACTACAGTTATTCTGTGTCAGAAACCTATTATGTGTCAAATATTTAATTACAATCCAAATTCAGACCTGTATCAAGCGCGATATTGTGTCCATTTTTGCCCCAACTGTTCAGGTTTGGACCTCTGCAGTCGTATCCAGCTGTGCCCAGCGAAGCAATTTATTGTAATATATCACTCAGCTTGTGTATTATTGAGCAATTTGGTATTTGGTCTGGAACTTTTGAAAAATAAGGTGTACCATATAAGTGATTTTCAGATCTGCCAGGCTTCCTGTTTGACCATTCTTTTAACCTTTTTATCAAAATGTCTAATATCAAGTTGGGATTGACATGACATCACTTACAACTTCTTGTTGGTGGAGTTAAGATTTAAGGAAGACTAATGTGAAACAGATTTCATATTCACAAATTAATTTTACTACAGTATACATAAAGTTATCAACTGTCTTAAATGTAGGTCAAAAGAAACATTTCAAGGTTCAACAATAATGCTTAATTTGTTGGTTTAATTTCAAGTTTAATGCGTAACAGATGCTATATCACAGTGCTACTTCACAATAGAATACAACCCCCAAGGGTGACTGGGGAATAGAAGTATGGTCACCATTGGTCTTCCTCCGACCGGCAGTAAAACCCGTGCTTAAGTGGGGCGTCCGTTTGGCTGTGCGGGATGTACAAATTCGCAGCCACGTCCGGTCAGAATGGGGACGTTAAATCCGATGCCTCGTGTAAAGAGAGTGCCACGCTCTTTGCACGTTAAGAACCCTTGCAACAACTCTTTGAGGGGTCCGTAGGTGACCTGTTGCAAGGCTAAATTTCTGTCCCTATCCAATATACCCTCATTTCCCGTGGCAGTCTAAATTTCTCCGACCTTTATCCCTTAATCTATTACAGAACCTACCTATTGTATTTATTGTGAACTTGTTCTCGTCCTGAATATGCATGAAATATTTGCCACTGGACGTTAAGCAACCAACAATCAATCAATCAATAGAATACAAGATATGAAAATTTTGTATATAGGTCAAAGGGATGGTATGATTTCATGATTAATATTAATGGTTATCAGTGGTCTGACCTGAAGTTTAACTAGAGGCGAAATAAACCAGATTGACATTCATACTCATAAGTCGAAAAATAAACTGACAATGCCATGGCTAAAAAAGAAAAAGACCAACAGACAAACAATAGTACACAAAACACAACATAGAAATCTAAAGACTGAGCAACACGAACCCCACCAAAAACTGGGGACGATCTCAGGTGCTCCAGAAGGGTATGCAGGTACTGCTGGAATATTGCTACATAGAAATGGAAAGTTCACAATTGTGAAGCTGAAATCATCTCTTTTGTCGTAAAGTTTGTTTTCAACCAACCCTCATTGTCAATTTCTAGATGTAATTTGTAATTATTGCGAACCAAATGAAAGTCTTCCACAGAGTCATCTGCTCTTGACCAGGGTATTTAAACTTTTGTCTATTCTCTTGTCCTATTGCATAAGTACAATAGCTATTGTTCTCTGTGCAGTTTTTTCACTGGGACCTTTAAATTTCTTCTAGGAGAAATCTATCACTCATTGATTAATTTACCTGACCAAAAAATTATCTTTTTGGGGGGGGGGGGGGGGGGGGGGGAAATAGTTGTATAAACTCGCATAAACTGCATGCAATATTGTATTTAATCCATATCAATAACATATTTTCAATCTGTTCAATATAAACACTGATTTAATTATAAAAAGTTTACTTCTGACAAAATTTTTAGTATTGTTCCAATGAAATTGCATGTTTTTGTTGTTGTTCAGTTATAGAATACATTTATCAAGACCTTAATTTATAAACTCAATAATTTTCAAGTTTTTATTTGTCAAACACACACAAAAAAGCAAATTTTAATAGGGAAAGTATAAAATTTTTTTTCAGAAATCAACTTTTAATTTTTGAATCAGTGTTTATATTGAAACTATTAAAAATGAATTATTGATATTGAATAAATACAACACCACATGCAGTTTTTTGAGTCCTTATTTAGTATTTGTACATGTATTTTCATTTTTGACAGTTCAATTTTTTGTTCAGGTAAATTAATCAGTGAGTGATAGATTTCTCTTGGAAGAAATTTAAAGGTCTAATAAAAAAACTACACAGAGAACAATAGCTATCCTATTTATTAGATGGGACAAAAGAACTTATAAAAGTTTAAATCGACAGGTAACTTGCAGGTGAATCTGTGGAAAAGCATCATTGGGTTTGCAATAATACAAACTTTTTTGTTCAGGGATAATATATTCCAAAACATAGGTTATAATCATGGTACAACCATTTATTCATTTATTCACTAATCAGCATAACAATGTAATACTTAAGAATTGATATGAAAGGCTGTGTGTAGCATTGGACATATAAAAGAAAAATGTGTCCATGGGACACAGATGCCTGTGCTTGTAATTATATAGCAAATTCAGCAATTTTTCAATTTACAAACGGTCATATCTCGAGAACTGTGAAAGTGATGCCACTCAAATTCGAACTTGATCTGTGTTTGGTGGTAATAAGCATTGTGTATAAGGTTTATAACATTTGGTTGTGGCAAACTAAAGTTAGAGTGCAGAAACTGCAAATTAAGCAATTGTTCCATTTATAAAGTGACATAACTCGAGAAAGGTAAAAGTGATGCTACCCAAGTTCTAATTTGATCTGTGTTTGGTGGTAACATTTGGTTGAGGCAAACTAAAGATAGTGTTCGGAAATGGCAAATTTAACAATTTTACCATTTATAAAGGGACATAAATCGAGAAAAGTAGAGGTGACGCCACTTTAATTCAAACAGCGTGGCACTCCGGCTTCCTCCATCAATAAACTGTTAACACAGAGCTATATCTTGCCTCTTTGTAATTTTGAAAGTATAATGCAGATATTGAATCAAAATGCGTTATTTAAACATGTAAACTATGCAAAACATTCAAAGTAAATGAACTATGACTTATGGTGCAGGACCAAATAACCCAATGGAAATGAGAATGCCAATGCTTATTAAATTGCATACCAAATACAATTGGCTTATAAGTGGTTCTCTTTATAATAACCTAAACACAAACTTCAATTTATAAACAATGTAAAAGTTTCTAAATCAATAAACTGTGCTAAGGGGATGGGGCCATATAGTCACCATGGAAAAAAGACTTCCAAATGCTAAAACAACTGCATACCAAATATCATTGACTTAGCACTAGTGGTTCCTGTTAAACTGATCTAATCACAAACTTAACATGTAAACTATGCAAAACATTTAAAGTCAATAGGCCATGACTGAGGGGGCGAAGTCAAATACTATCCATGGAAATGAGATATGCCAATGCTTATGCATCTACTTAACAAATATTATTTATCTACCACTAGCATTTCCCCTTAAACTGACCTAATCACAAACTATTGTAATTTCAGAAATTAATGCAGTCATTTATTATTGCGATTTTTGAAGAATGGACAAAAATGTGAGATTAACTATTGCGATTTCAGGAAAATATTTTTACCGATATATGCGTCATATATCAAAATGAGAGTTCTTGTTATTGCGATACTCGCCCAGTCGCAAAATTCGCATTAATTTCTGAATTTACAGTAATTCATGTAAAGTAAGCAAAAGTTTCAAAGTCAATAGACCATGACTGAGGGGGTGGGGTTGAATAATCTCCATGGCAATAAGATGTGTCAATGCTAATACAACTGCATACCAAATATCATTGACCTACGACTAGTGGTTCCCCATAAACTGACCTAATCACAAACTTATACAAACAGCTTACATAAGTCTTGCTTTTTGACTGCAAGACAATAATCAAAGTGCTTTTAAGCACTGAAGAGTAAAGTTTGCTTTAATTTATCAATGGGAAGTCAAATTAAACATTGCATTGTACAAAGCATTGGTTGAAGTTGATTCAACTACAATTATGGACAAAGGAAGATAACTCCAATTTTAAAGATTACTTTAACAATAACATCATTGATATTTTTAGAACAAATATTAGAGTTCTGCAACTTGCACAAGTTATGTAATTTTCTTGACAAGTATAACATCATTTAATAATTTAAATATCTGAGCATATATTTCACTGATGAATTTCTGGAAATGTTCATGGATAGGATGTTTAGAATGTTATGACCAATGCACTATATTTTGTGTATCTCAAGAGTAGTGATAAACCTTGGAAGATTTAGATATGGTAAGTACCATAGGGTTTAGATCGCATTTCATGCAATCTTTACCCCAAAACTGGCTGTTATGAAAATAGCCAACAGTGCTGAAAGTGCCGTTAAGAAGTATTGACTAATTGGTGTTTAATCCCAAATTCAGCACTATAGGCTATTTTGTGGCAGTCAGTTTTTATTGGTTAAGGAAGCCAGAGAGAACCACCCACCTTTCGGCAGGAAAACTGACAATCTTAGTCAATCAAGATTGGCATGGAATCCAGGATTCAAACTCACAATCTCAGTGATGGCAGGCTAGTAATCCAGTAGTTGAACTACTGGCAGAAGGAGAAGACAATCTTAAAATCTTAACATTTTATTCAGGTTAAATGACTAGATTAATACATGTCATTAGGCCTTCTACATAAAATATCTCTTTAACAATTTAAAATAAAGTTAAAACAATGCACTATTTAATTATGAACATCCATACTTCACAACTAATAAAATTTCACACCACACATTTCTCAGGAACAAAAAACTGTCTGTTGCAAAATAAAGGTAATTTAATTGTGATATCTTCATAAAATATCATACTTTTAAATTTGATTCCTGGTAATTCATTACTGTTTAGAGGAAAGAATAATGACACATTAAATAATTATTTGTCTGTACCTTGAATGTATAATAGGAAAACTATATTTTCCATTTTCATTTAGAAAAGGTCGATGAACAAGGTTTGTCAGAGCAAGAGTAAAGCATGTTCATTTGTGAAAAAAAAATATAATTTTGTGACAATAATTAAAAGCCAACATTTAAACCAGATACTGTATATGTATATTAATGTTTTCAATTTAGACTTGTATGTATATTAATGGTATATACTTGGCTGCTTGTATTATTCTTCTGCAGACAGGAAAATGCATAAATAAGAGTACACAGTATTTAACTAATCTCAATATACTTCTTACACATAGATGATATTTAACTTTAAATAAAAATAAGACCCGACATGTAGGAGGGTAGGCATGCCCTTTATCGTTCAAGTCAAATGTCTGTTTTTCGCTACCGTTAGTGTCAAATGAGCCTTAATTTTTTATAGTCATTGGTCAAATCTCATTTTGTAGCTACCATTAGCATCAAATGGAGTAAAATGTTTAATGTGTACATCATTTTAACACATATTTTCTCGTCATTCATCATGTTGGGTACCCCATTCCTACACTCAAAATATTTTCTATTGAAATTTTTTTTTTTGTGTGTTTGACAAATAAAAACTGGAAAATGACAATGTTTAAATTAAGGCCTTCTTAAATGTATACTATAACTTAACATAAACAAAACAATGCAAATTTCAATAGGAACAATGCTTAAAATTTTGTCAGAAATCAATTTTTGAAGATTAAAGCCGTGTTTATATTGAACAGATTGAAAGTATATTATTGATATTGAATATAAATACAACATCACATGCAGTTTTGTGAGTTGATACATCTATTTTCATTTATTTAAAAGATATTTTTTTTACTCAGGTAAATTAATCAATGAGTGATGGATTTCCCTTAGAAGAAATTCAAAGGTCCCAGTGAATAAGCTACACAGAGAACAATAGCTATTGTATTTATTCAATGGGACAATAGAACTGACAAAGGTTAAAGTACCTTGACCAAGAGGAGATGACTCTTTGGAAAAGTTTTATTTAGTTCGAAATAAAACTAAATGAAGTTACATTTATTTTATAGGACACTAACTTTATAGGATTTAAAACTTTTTACTAATTGAAATTCACAGTATATACAATTTTTAGTTTGCTCTGATGAAGAGGGGCAGTGGTGGCAAATAATGAAAGCACAAAATACTATAAATTAAGTCCAATCAACAGCAGATCCATCATTCACTTTATAAAGAGAACAAATGAACACATCAAATTTGATTCCTTTGAAATAGATAGGTTTAGACATGATGTAATTTGGATTTGATTAATTCCCTTAGCCACCATGTTGTAACTGAGTGATTTTGTTATTTGACCTACTGAATTAAAACATGTGATACAAGCAAGTCTGAGATGAGATTCTTAGTAGGTCCTATATAACTTGTGATGAATTATACAAGGCTTTAAGAAATCAAAATTGTCCAGAAAACAACTTTTTTCTAAAATCAAACATCAGTATAACAAGATGAAACTGGCTGTCTATGAAGGAATTTGTGCACATTGACCTCCAACATGATGACAAAAGTCAATATAACAAGATGAAACTAGCTGTCTTTGAAGAAATTTGTGCATACTGACCCCCAACATGGCAACAAAAGGGTTATAACTGCAACTCAAATTGCATCAATCCAAAACTATCTATTGTACAATACTCATGAAAAAGTTAAATAAATGCATTGTAACATATTCATAAAATAAATAAAATGCTTAATACATACATTTAGGTACATTTGAGTGTAAATAAAACAAGTTTATATAGTGATAACTGATTGAATACAAATAAATTATGTACAAAGTTATTTGTATTTAATCATGTTAATCATAAAGATATTGAAGTTGGCATATACAAATATATTATTAAATAAATGTAAAGTAAAACTGCAACTAAAATTAAATACATAAAACACAGCACTTTAGAATTCATAAAATACTAACAGTTATTCATAAACTACTAACAGTTTCAGACACACCAATTTGATATTCCAGTAATAGGACAACATTGTTTTAACTCTTTTGAAAACAATCAGATATTGCTCAATCATTTTGTTATAAAAAGAAGAAAAGCAAGATTTTGTTTATAAAAAATTTTTACAACAAATTCTTCTATTCATCTTAATAGCTACTTTTAGAAATATTGCTCTCGTAAAATACTTGACTTTTAATTTTATAAATCCAATTAAAAATTGTTTCTTATATATTTCACAATCATATTTTGACACACAAAAATAGCACAATAAAAAGTTTCTGTAAACTAGAAAATTACTGCGATGTTTTTATCAATGTGAAAAATGGGACAGTATCAGGTTCCCAGAAATAAAAACTTGCATTCATAATTTCAGTACTGATTTTCCTTCAGTAATTTTTGAAATCACATTAATTAGATCTAACATTTTTACAAGTTATCAGCAATTTTCTATAATTAATGCACACATTTATTTCTGAATTTACAGTCTCCAAATATAATGACAGTAAAATATGTGTTTAGTTTTCTTAATACATTTACCCATATCATCAAAACTTAAGGATTTCAAACTTATGGATTTCTATGAATGACTTTCAGCAGTTACAATATGTATTACAATATACAATTTATTGAAAATATAGACAATTCTAACATACTATCACTACATGTGGAGTTATGTACATACATGTAGCATGTAAAGATATTAACTTGTACATAAAAATAAAATTAATGCCAGAATTTACAGCAGTTTAAAAATAGAATAAATACAACCATTCCCTAAAATCAATTTTAAAACATAGTATAAATATTCAAAACAATCCATTTCGAAATTAAAGAGCATGACTACCGTAATGTCAATGTTGGTAAGAAACAGGGTACAAAATCATTCAATACTGATAGTCTGTAAAAATTGAATTTTCAGATAAAGGTAGAAAAAACACTTTGTTCCTTTTTATTGTTCAATTTTCCATGTTTAGTCAGTCAGTCAGTCACAACCTGTTGGTATTATTTAAATTTGACATTTCTGTCTTGTTCACATATTACAAAGTGTTATTTTCACGTTTTAGTTCAATTATAGAAATTATAAAATTTCAGTTGAAACATTTTGTCATGCTTGTGCAATGTACCAATAAATTATGTAAAAATCATTATCATATTTAATCGACCATAGACTGATGATAGTAGATAGGAATTCTTATGTTAAATTGTTAATCTATGCAGCAGGTTTAAGATAATTGTTTGTGTGTTGCAAATTAAAAAAAAAATTAGGAATGTAACAGTGATAATTCCATAATTTAAAATGACTTCAAGTTCAACACTTAATACGTTTTCTAAAGAGCAATTTTTGAAAAGGGCAGAAAAATTAATCAATAACAAATTAGGTTTAATATGTATAAAGTTCTCAAAGTCCCCCTACATTTTGCACCTCTTCCATACCATTAAAAAAAAATCTTCTTAAATTTACTTGAAATTGTTTAACCAATTAAAAAAAAAGTCTGAGTGTTGAAAGTCAAAACTTAAAGTCTCTTGTGCATGCTGGTTGCCATGTTCTGATTTCACAAATAGTACTGATCAAAGTATGAGTAAAGAGATATAAGAAGATGTGGTATGAGTGCCAATGAGACAACTCTCCATCCAAGTAAAAATTTATAAAAGTAAACCATTATAGGTCACAGTACGGTCTTCAACACGGATGTATGTATACCTTACATGTCAGGGGATCTACTTGTGCAAGAAGAATTAATCTTGTTTGTTGAAATTAGAATCAAATTTGACAAAGAGCTATCTTTTTCAAGTAAGAAATCTATGGTCTATATTTTTTAATTAGAGTTACCTCCACTTAATCTTATTGTGACAATTTTGCATACTTTATCTGTGTAAAAATTGAATTAAAGAGTGTAATTTCAATCCACTGGATCACCATTGTTTTAAAATTAAAGAGAAAACCAACCAAACCAGGAAAATTTTATTCTTCAGCATGACAATTATCCTTTTATGAAAAAATAAATTGCTTCGCCGAGCGCAGCTGGATACAACCGCAGAGGTCCAATCCTGAACAGTTGGGGCAAAAATGGAAACAATATTCATGCTTGATACAGGTCTGAATTTGGATTGTAATTAAATATTTGACACATAATAGGTTTCTGACACAGAATAACTGTAGTCAAAGAACTTAGAATTGGTTTTTTGATTTGAATTTATTCAATTTTTTGCTTTTGTGCAATACACTATGCTGTTGTGAATTGACTCCACCCCCAAAAAAATATTTTTTTTTTTACCCCCCTCAAGATATGGTCAAAATCTCAATTCAAATTTCCAAGGGAGTTTGCAACCATAATTACCCATTTAAATACATCATAAAAGTCTTAAAATAGAAAATGACATACATAATCATGGCTAAAATTAATATATTAAATATTCCTTAATCAGCATTTTTAAATAGTAACTTCTAAAAATAAATTGACAGCTAATCACCTCAAGACAATACAACATTTCTTTAAACATAATTTAACAGCAGTGTAAGGGAGGTAGTCCAAACTTAACATTGTACTTTTTTTTAATTGTCCATTAACCAGGAAACCCTTGTTTTTCCCCCTTTTTGCCCCCAATTCCTAAATGGTTTGAGCCATAACCCCTCAAAGCAAATCCTAACCACCATTTGTGGTATGGAAACTTGTGGTATAATTTCAGAGAGATCCATACACCGTTCCACAAGTTATTGTCTGGAAACTAGAAAAATGCTTATTTTGGCCCCTAATCCCTAAACTGTTAGGACTGTAACCCCCAAAATCGATCCCAACCTTCCTTTTGTGGTTATAAACCTTGTATTAAAATTTCATAGATTTCTATTTACATTTACTAAAGTCATTGTCCGGAAACAAAATGTCTTATGACGACGACTACATGATACCAATATACGACCGCAAAAATAAAAATTATCAGAATAATGAAAATTGTCAAACAAGTTCAAGCAAATCTAAGAAGAAAATTAGTTTTTTAGCCAATGAAGCTTAAAATATAGGTCAGAGTGTCCTATGTTTTGAAGGAGGCTGCTATCAGTCAGGGGTACTACTTGTACAAGTAATCTTTATTTACTTGAAGAAGTAAATAAAATATACTTATATAAGATAATTATAATGTTTGAATAATCTCCCCTTAATTTTCTCAAAAATTCACTTGTATAAGTAAATTTTGTTTACAATCCCACAAAAATTCTCAAGTTTTGAGATGTAAAAACATGCCTTTAATGATTTTTCCCAGGTTAGCTCATAATTTTTTATTAGAGTTCAATGTTTCATCTCATTAATTCAACAAAGAAACTGATTGCGCAAAGATCTTAAGTATTTGGGCAAGGCCTTCAAAAATTGCTCCTTGGGGATTTGTAAATGAGCAGTGTTCTGAAGATAACAGACAAATGAGATTTTCATTGTCCATTAAATTAAACTTAAATGATTAGTTAAGACATCTGCAAAGGACAGACAATTTAAAACTCTATAAGAGCAAAGAAGTCCTAAGAATTCACAAAAAGAAGATAGGATGACTTTTTTACTTGTATAAGTAAAAAAATCTGAATGTCTAACGGACATAACTAAGTCAATTTTTTTTTACCTATACAAGTAAATAAAATACACTTGTATAAGTATCCTACAAATTTACTTATATATGTATATCAATATTACTTCTTCAAGTAAATTAAATTACTTGTACAAGTAGTACCCCTGACTGGCTATACTCCCCAAGATGCACCCTTACAACTCAGTTATATAATTGTATGTTACTTAGAAACTGAAATCAGGAAATCAATGAAGCCTTATATTGATGTCTTATTTTTGTGGGAATTTGTCATACTTCCCTTAATGCAGACCTAACACAAAATCGTAGATTAAAGGTCACTTAATGAATGAAGACTCAGATATAAAATGTACTATGAGTAATGAAGCTTAAAAGCATTATCAAATTATCAAAGCTCCTAAACCATGAACTATAAGTCATGTGACCTTCATCTTTTGGCACATTGTCTTTCTCTCCAAGATTCACCTGTACTCCACATTTAATTTAATGGCTGTATGTTTATAATTTCCATGTGCAGGTAATAAACACACTTTTAATTTTTTTATACAAAATTATAATTTTATTCTCAATCTTTCTGAAACATATTATTATCCAAAGAAATCACATGGATGGTAATATTTTTTTCTTTTTGCACAGTTTCTTAAAAAGCCACAATAATCATGATAATACGGTTGAACAATAAAATAATGTATCAAAACTTAAACTATTGTATAAAAACCAAAAAGTAACAGTTTTGAATGTTTTAATCATATTTTGATTTCTTTAAACAGCTGATTCATATGACACAGATGTCCTTTTGGGATGCTGTGCTGGTAACGGAATAGGAATTTCTCGATTTGGACTTTGAGGGCTCATAGGAGACGGTGAGCTTAGATCTTTAGGCAGAAAATTTAAACAACCATTTTCTGGGCTTGAAGGAGTATTTGGTTCTGATCCTGATCTTGATCTTTTAAATGAAAATTTTTGTGGAGAAATTGAGAGTTTTCCTAATGATGATGGACTTAAAGGAGATTGTGGTGATGTCACACTAAGACTTCTTAACCGGGAAAACAATTTCCTGGGACGTGAAGGCTTGGAACCTGAGAGACCATGATGTGAGTGTCTACGACTGCTATTAGAGTCTGGTGTACTGGTTGCAGATGATTTTGTTATCAAAGGACTTCCTATCAAGGGAATATTTTCCAAGTTGTCATGGTTAGTTCTTCCTAATTCAAAGGCAACTATTGAAGCATGATCCAGTTTTCCTGGTGCTTTTGACATTTTCTTCTTTATTTCTGAATCTCGCTTCTGTCTCTGGTCTTGTGTCATTCTTCTACGTTTATACAAAGATGGATTTTCCAATACTTTACGTTTAGAATCAGTTAGCATAAGTACATGCTGGACAAGTGTACTACACAAACTTTGTGCAGTACATTGTTCTTCTGTGACTAGTTCTTGTTCATTAATAACACGTTCCATTTCCTTCATACCATATATATGTCGCTCACCTGGTTCCATTTCAGGTTTTATAATTGCTTCTGAATTAGAAATATCTTGTGCACTTTCACCATTAACTTGCCTAGGTATGGCTACTTTTGTGACAACAGGATCAAAATTGTCAGAAATGCCATCAGTAGTTAAAAACACAATATCTCCTTCACTTGCAAAAGTCATAGAACAAGTAAGATTTTGTAATTCTGGATCACTTCCATGAACTGGTCCTATTGCTCCACCTGCATCCCTAATATCTCGTTCTGAACTTATGTCATGTGACCCTACAGTTATTTCTCTTATTCCACGTCTTTCTCCAAGAATATAACCATAACTGTCTCCAACATTTACACAACAAACTGAAAATTCTTTGGAACTTTTTAGCGGACAGATCATACAAGCACACATTGTTGTTAGTCCACCTTCTTTTGACAGAATAGTTTGATGAGCTTGATCAAATGAATTCCTGAGAATTTCTACCACTTCCTACAATAAGATAATATGATTTCATTCAATATATGGTTTGTAATAGATTATACAACCCAGACAGTGTTTTTTTAACGCCAGATCATGAGTTTTCAAGAACTGATAGAAAACATAATGTGTTTTATATTACCAATCATGTGACAAACACTTGAACTGATAAGATCAGTAGACCTACATGTGGGTCTTGAGAGTTTTTTGGCAATACTAATGGATGCTGAAAAGAATATCTGTCTACTTTTTAGCAGATAAATATCTACTTAGATATATGGAATGATGCTATCAGTGTTAAATGCATTAGACTGAGATGTGACAACTTTAAATTTCCTCAAATCAATTTAACATGGTTGAATAGGTTTTATTCAGTGGTTTTCATTTGATGCTGGATATCATATTTATTTTTTGTTTATTATTTTGTACGTAAATCAGGCTGTTAGTTGTCTCGTTTGAATTGTTTAACATTTGTCATTTTGGAACCTTCTGTAGCTTACTATGTGGTATGGGCTTTGCTCATTGTTGAAGGGCATACAGCGATCTGATGGTTGTTTATGTCTATATCATTTGGTCTCTGATGGAGAGTTGTCTCATTTGCAATCATACCACATCTCCTTATTTTCGAACCCTGAACAGTTGGAGCAAGTATAGACACAACATTTAAGCTTTAAACAGCTCTGAATTTGGATTGTGATTGAATATTTGACACAGCATAGGTTTGTGACACAAAATAAATGTGGTCAAAGAACTGAAATATTTGAAATTGGACATTTAAATACCCATTATGGTCCAATATCCAAAATCTAAGTACATATTAGAATCAGCATATCAAAGAACCGCTAGAATTCAATTTTTGATGAAATCAGACAAAAGTTTAATTTAGGACCCTTTGGACCTCAATGTGGACCAATTTGATAAAGGAGCCCATAATCCAAAATCTCTCAATACATGGTTAGATTCAGCATTTCAAAGAACCCCATAAATTCATTTTTTGTTGAATCAAACAAAGTTTAATTTTGGACCCTGATTTGGACCAACTTGAAAACTGGGCCCAAAAAATCTAATATTTAAATACAAGTTTAGATTCAGCATTTGAAAGAACCCTATATATATTTAATCTATGTTGAAATGAAACACAGGTTAATTTTATCCATAATATTTTCTGTGCAAAGGGAAATAACTCAAACTGGATAAATAGTTCTCTAAAATAAGATATGATGCAATTTTTTCAAATCATAATCAATAATATAATAACAACAACATGTGATGACTAAGTTCTCTAAAATTAGATATGATTTAACACTCAAACATTGTTAGAATCAGCATATCAAAGAACCAAGGAATTCAATTTTTGATGAAATCAAACAAAAGTTTAATTTAGGACCCTTAACTTTGGACCTCAATGTGGTATTATCTTATTAATAATGAAAAGAAATACAGGTTTAGATTAAGCATTTCAAAGAACCCTATATATATTCAATTTATGTTGAAATCAAACACAGTTTAATTTTGGACCCCAATTTGGACCAACTTGACAACTGGGCCCAAAATCAGAAATCTAAATATATGTTTATTAATAGACAATATAAGCTTAGTTTTTAAAGGAGTTCACTTCATCAAAAAAAAATATATAGCATTCAGAAAATTAGTTTTTACAGAATAACAAACAAACTTGCCACAAAATTCTTCAAACAATTTACCAAAGAAAAGAAGAATCCATCCCAAATTTTATTCATCATTAAAACAGTGTCTTTTCAAAATCTATAAAAATCAGTAACATGAAATAATTGTAACAGGATGCTGTTACAAAGTCTCCCAAACAAAGCTCCAATAATTCGTCATTCCCAGGGTCGCCTGACATTGGGCAAAGTCCAGTACAAATTGGTTTGTGGTTTAGGGGTGGGGATCTCAACCGTTTACAAGTTATCAATAAAATGCTCCACTGGGGCACAGCTTGATACGACAGCAGAGGTCGAACCCTGAACAGTTGGGGCAAGTATGGACACAACATTCAAGCTTGATACAGCACTGAATTTGGATTGTAATTAAATATTTGACACAGCATAGGTTTCTGACACAGAATGAATGTGGTCTATGAACTTAAATTTTTTTAATTTACCTATTCAAACCCTATCATTATTATTTGCTTTTATATATAAATCAGAAATAACCAATTTAACATGGAAAATTTTAAAGAAAAAAAAGGAAAAAAAAATCCCCCCCCCAATTTTTTGAACCCCCTTATGATTCATCAACCCCAAACTCAATCCCAGCCTTCCCTTTGTGGTATGGTACCTTGCAGTACAATTTCAGAGAGATCCATACACTTGAACACAAGTTATTGTCTGGAAACTAGAAAAATGCTTGTTTTTTGCCCCTTTTTGTCCCCAAATTCATAAACGTTTAGGGCAATTACCCCCAACTCAAACCCAGCTTTCCCTTTGTGATATGGAACCTTGTAGTACAATTTCATAAAGATCCATACACTTACACACAAGTTATTGTCCTGAAACTAGAAAAATGCTTTTTTTTTTGCCCCTTTATGGCCCCTAATTCCTAAAATTTTGAGGCAATTACCCCCAAAATCAATCCCAGCCTTTCCTTTGTGGTATGGTACCTTGCAGTACAATTTCAGAGAGATCCATACACTTGAACACAAGTTATTGTCTGGAAACTAGAAAAATGCTTATTTTTGGCCCATTTTTGGCCCCTTATTCCTAAATGTTTTAGGCAATGCAATTACCCCCAAACTCAATTCCAGCTTTCCCTTTGTGATATGGAACCTTGTAGTACAATTTCATAAAGATCCATACACTTACACACAAGTTATTGTCATGAAACTAGAAAAATGCTTGTTTTTTGCCCCTTTTTGGCCCCTAATTCCTAAAATTTGGAGGCAATTACCCCCAAAATTAATCCAAGCATTCCCTTTGTGATATGGAACCTTGTGGTACTATGTCAGAGAGATCCATACACTTATACACAAGTTATTGCCATGAAACTAGAAAAATGCTTGTTTTTTGCCCCTTTTTGGCCCCTAATTCCTAAAATTTGGAGGCAATTACCCCCAAAATCAATCCCAGCATTCCCTTTGTGAAATGGGACCTTGTGGTACAATGTCAGAGAGATCCATACACTAACACACAAGTTATGTCTGGAAGTTACAAAAATGCTTATTTTTAGCCCCTTTTTGGCCCCTAATTCCTTAACTGTTTGTACCATAACCCCCAAAATCAATCCCCACCTTCCTTTTGTGATATATATTGAACCTTATGGTAAAATTTCATAGAGATCCATTCACTTTGATTAAAGTTAGAGTGCGAAAACCAATGTGTCTTCGGAGGACAGCGACACCGGACAACGACGATGACGACGCCAATGTCATACCAATATACGACCACAAAATTTTTTTGCGGTCGTATAAAAAGAAGGGGGTGGGGATGACCACCATGGACTTCCCCTATATTTCATTTGATTTTTTTTATTGTCCCATACAAGAATATATATGGTTTAGGGGTGGGGATCTTGACCGTTTACAAGTTCTCAAACAGGAGGGGGTTGGGGTGACCCCAGGGGACTCGCCTTTTATTTCATTTGATTAGTTTTAATGTCCCATACAAAAATAAATATGGTTTCAGGGTGGGGATCTTGACCATTTACAAGTTTTCCAAAAGAAAGGGGGGTGGGGGTGAACTCGGGGACTCCCCCAATATTTCATTTGATTTGTTATATTGTCCCATACAAGAATATATATGGTTTAGGGGTGGGGATCTTGACCGTTTACAAGATAAAAGCACATTCTCAAATTGAAGAGGGGTGGGGGTAAGAATATATATGGTTTAGGGAGACTTAATTATCTACAAAATGTCTAATAATGAACAGAAAATTTCAAACTTCATTTATACAGTCCTACTAGTAAATTTCAAACTTTATGTATACAGTCCTACAGATCTTATGAGGAAACAGAAAATTTTCAAATAAATCTGTCACTCCAATGATTATCATATGATAAGATATAACCCAGTTCTAATTAATAATTAATAATGTAATTAACTTCAAAATGTCTAATAATATAGCTTATAATCATCACCACTTAGGATATAGAAAATTTTCAAATAAATCTGTCACTCCAATTTTTATTGCAAGATAAGACGTTATGCTGAGTCATAATGTGATAACAAGAGAAAAATATTTTAAAATACCACTTTTGGATATTAAAATTGGCGATAACTCAAACAGGAGAAATACTAAAATCATGAAAATTGAACTAGATCTTCATCAAGTCACAAGAAACAACATATCTAAATTTGAAAAAAATTATCACAGCATTTCATGTTATATATTGAAGAGACACTGTTTGGCAGCCGCCCGTCTGCCCATCCGCCCGCCCAGCCGCCGTACATCCCCAAATCAATAACCGATATTTCCTTCGAAAATCCGGTTAACAAAATAAATGGGGAATGTGTCCATGGGACACAGATCATGCCCCTGCTTGCATATAATGTTATAAAGGGACACAACTCCAGAACTGTGAAAGTGACGCTACCCAAATTTGTACTTGATCTGAGTTTTGTGGTAATTAGTATTGTGTATACGTTTCAAAACATTTATGAGGGAAACTTAAGTAGGAGAACCGAAACAAAAAATCCAGCAATTTTTCCATTTGTAAAGAGGCATAACTTTAGATCGATAAAAGTGACGCCACCAAAGGTCAAACTCGATCTGTGTTTTGTGGTTATAAGCATTGTGTATAAGTTTCATAACATTTGGTTGAGGCAAACTAAAGTTAGAGAACGGAAACCAAAAATTTAGCAATTTTTCCATTTGTAAAGGGGCAGAACTCTAAAACGGCAAAAGTGACGCAACCAAAATTCAAACTTGGTCTGTGGTTTAAGGTAGTAAGCATTGTGTATAAGTTTCATATCATTTGGTTGAGGCAAACTAAAGTTAGAGAACGGAAACCAAAAATTAAGCAATTTTTCCATTTGTAAAGGGGCATAACTCTAAAACAGTAAAAGCAATGCCACAAAAATTTAAACTTGATCTGTGTTTTGTAGTAATAAGCATTGTGTATAAGTTTCATAACATTTGGTTGAGGCAAACTAAAATTAGAGAACGGAAACATAAATATCAGCAATTTTTCAATTTGTAAAGGGCATAACTCAAGAACGGTAAAAGTGATGCCACCAAAATTCAAACTTGATCTGTGTTTTGTGATTATAAGCATTGTGTATAAGTTTCATAACATTTGATCTACGCAAACTAAAGTTAGAGAAAGGAAACCAATTTTGGGACGGACGTACGTACGGACGTACAGACAGACAAGGGTAAAACTTAATGCTTCCTCCGCTATGGCGGGGGCATAAAAATAATTTCCAAAATATCATTTATCAATAATACAATGTCTTTAAAAAATCTATAAAACTTATCTGTAATTATCTTCAAAATATCTAATAATGAACAGTAAATTTCAAACTATATTTATACTGTCCTACAGAGCTTATCATCAACAACACTTATGAAACACAAAATTTTAAAATAAAACTGTCACTCCAATTATAATTATGTTATTGATAATTACCACATGTTTGTTATCTTGATAATAGGTGAAAATTATTAACAAAACCCATAGTGTAATCAAACTTTATTTATATAATTAATAGTTCCCAATATTTTTTCTTTCATTTGTCACAAACTAATATCTGCAACTTATCTATCAATGTGAATAACTTTATCTACACAATGTATTGTAATGAAATATATCCTTTAATAAAAATAGATTATTATCTAAAGGTAATATTTTTTTTTATTAAGATGTAACATAACATAATGTATGGCACAATTGTATTTAAAAACTTCACTTACCTGCAGTTCCACTTTAACAGATGGACAAAGGTCTATTAATTTCCAAGGGAATTTTCAACCATAAGAAAATCTTCAAACATGTTAACAATCCTCCTATAGTGGTATGGAACCTTGTGCTAAAATTTCTTGCACGTCCATACACTTATACTAAAGTTATTGTCTGTGAAACAATTTATTTTCCATGAACCAATTTATTTCACATAAACCAGTGATGTAAACCACAAAAATAGTTCTCTAAAACTAGATAGGATTTTATATCTATTTTCAGCTATGAACCAATGAGCAAATATGTAATAATAGCCTAGTTTCTGACACAGAATGAATGTGGTATAAGTTCTTAAATAATTTTAAAATTGGACATTTACCAATTATGGTCAAATATTCAAATACTATATACATGGTTGGATTCAGCTTATCAAGTAACCACATTATTTCATTTTTTGTTAAAATCAAACTAAGTTTTATTTTGGATACTTTGGACCTTTATGGGGTCCAGTTTGAAAAATGGGCCTACAATCAAAAATTTTAAACGCTGTTAGATTGCACACATTAAAAACACTAATGATTTAATTTTTGAAGAAACCAAACAAAATTTAATTTTGGATCCAAATTTGGACCAACTTTGAAAACCAAGCACAAAATCAAAAAATCTAAAACACTGTTGGATTGACCATATCAAATAACACAAACAATTTAATTTTTTGGTGAAATCAAAAAATGTTCAATTCTGGACCCCAATTTGGACCATCTTGAATACTGTACCAAAATTCAAAATCTTATACACTTAGATTCAGCAATGCTGCATATCAAAGAACCCCAACCATTCTTTTTTTTTTCAAATCAAACAAAGTTTAATTTTGGACCCTTTGGACCTTAATATGGATCATTTCAAAAATAGACCCAAAATCCAAATAATAAATACACAATTAGATTCAGCATATTAAAGACTCCCAAGAATTCAAGACTTTTGAATTAAATCCCATTGAAATTGCTAGAGAAATAAGCAATTTATACACAGTATTGGTTTTGGCCCCTTTTAACTAAACCAATAGGGTCATAACCCTTAAAATAAATCCCAAACTTTATTTTATGATATAACACCTTGTGGCACAGTTAAATAGCAATAAATAGACTTATACTCAAGTAATTGTCCAGAAATCAGAAAATCCTAGTTTTTTGGTACCTTTTCAGCTCCTTATGATTAAACGGTTTGGACCATGACCCCTAAAATCAATCCCAACTTTCCTTTTGAAATATGGAACCTTGTAGTAAAATTTCCAAGAAATCCATACCCTTATACACAAATTAGTGTCCTGAAACATGAAAAATGCTTTTATTTTACCCCTTTTTGGTCCTTAATTACTAAAAAGCTACAACAATAACCCCCAAAATAAATCCCAACCTTCCTATTGTGGGGTGGAACCTTGTGCTTAAATTTAATACAGAACTATCCAGTTATACTCAAGTTATTGTCTGTGAACCAGAAAAATAATTGTTTTTGTTGGGCCCTTTTTGGCCTCTAATTCCTAAACAGCTACTACAATAACCCCCCCCCCCCCCCCCAAAAAAAAAAAAAACCAACCTTCCTATTGTGGTGTGGAACCTTGTGCTAAAAATGAATAGAGATCCATTAACTTATACTCAAGTTATTGCCTGCAAACCAGAAAAATAGTTGTTTTCGGCCCCTTTTCGACCCCTAATTATTAAAAGATATGGGCTATGACCCTCCAAAAATCATTCTTAACTTTCCTTTTGAAGTTTGGGACCTTGTGGTAAAATTTCCTAGAAATATATACTCTTATACACCAATTATTGTCCTGAAACAAATTTTTAGGCCCTAATTCTTAAACAGCTATGACAATAACCCTCAAAATAAATCCCAACCTTTCTATTGTGGTATGAAACCTTGTGCTAAAGTTTAATAGAAATCCATACACTTATACTCAAGTTATTGTCTGTGAACCAGACAAAAAAATGGTTTTTGTTAGACCCTTTTTGGCCCCAAATTCCTAAACAGCTATGACAATAACCCCCAAAATTAATCCCAACCTTCCTATTGTGGTGTGGAACCTTGTGCTAAAATTTTGACCAAAGAAATATCTCTTATACTCAAGTTATTATCTTAAAACCAGACAAATAATTGTTTTTGACCCCTTTCTGGCTCCTAATTACAAAACAGCTAAGACAATAACCCCCAAAATCAATCCCAACCCTCCTATTGTGGTACGGAACCTTGTACTAAAATTTCTTACACATCCATACACTTACAATAAAGTTATTGTCTGCGAACCAATTTATTTTCCATGAACCAGTAAAACTGACCTTTTTTGGCCCCTAATTATAAAATCACATGGACAAAAGCCCCCAAAAACAAATCCAAACAAACTTTAGTGGTATGAAACTTTGTGCTAAAATTTCATAGAGATCCATGAACTTGTACTCAAGTTATTGTCTGCGAACCAAAATGTCTTCAGACGCAGACACAGACAATACCATAACATAATACTACCAAAAAAAACATGTAAGAATTCTGAATAGTAATAGAGATTAGGGTTTACATGCATATTTCATGGTTGTAATGCATTTGATAGAAGTACACTTTGTGTTGATTGTTTACAATATTTTTTAAGTCTTTTGACAGTATCTAATATGTGATTATTTTAGGGTTGATTTTATTAGGTTATACTAAATCTGTATATTTTATGAGGGTTTGAATGGGGTATACAGAATAGAGAATAATGGCCCCCAAAATATGGGACAAACCTATATCTGCACAAAAATTGACAGTTATTATGTTTGCACGAACAAATGGCATTATGGTTGCACAAAGTTACCTGTAATTTACCTGAGTTTGAAGTTTTCACCTGTGTTTTAATCCTGATAAATATATAATTGCAGAAGTCTTTGTTTGTCAATTCAATTTTAATCTATTTTGCTTAAGGCTATTCCATTAAAATGTATGTGGGAGGGTAGGAAAGGACTTTCAAAATATCCCTACAACCAAGAACCATTTTTTAGATAATTTTGCATAATAGTAGACGCATACTGAAAAAAGACCCATGACCCACATTCAATAATTAAACTTCCCTTCCTACCCTCCCACATACATTTTAATGGAATTGCCCTTATGTCAGAGTCATGATTGTTTCAATTATGTTCAAACTGATTTACTTGATATAATTCAATTAATAATGTTGTATATTTTGATTTTTGAACAGGTAAATTTCACGCAAAAGTTGAAAAAAATCACAAAAACATAAGGCACCTAGAAAATAAATAGAGAAAATTAGCAAAAAAAAAATTAAGAATAGAGAATAATGGGGTGCAAAAGTATAAAGTTTAATAGTGGAAAATAAAAGAATTTGGTAATAATTGTACTAAACAAAAATGAATGATGTACAGAATAAAGAAATCATCTAATTACAGAAAAATGTAATAGCAAAATTAGTTGTATGAGAATTTTACCAGAAAGCGTTATTTTCAAAGATAAAGAAAAATCCATTTAAAGAATACAGAATTTAAGGAACCCCATCCAGAACCTCTTTTATTACTGTATACATAACATGTATACATATACTTAATAACTGTTGACTTTATGGTTGTTACCCTTGTATTTCTTGGTTGATTAAGTTTATCATACAACTGTTTGTTGAGGTATTTCATGGCTCCATACAGAGCACATCTGGCTGCAAGTCTTGACTTTTCTCCCCAGTTTACACCATCAGCTATGAGCAGTATACAATTATTTTTTCTTGCACAAATGGCAAATGCATCAGCAATTGGATCTCCTAAAAATATAATTAGACTGGAAAGTTTTGCAGCTTAATTCAAAGAATCTATCAGATTATAATAAGTCATTGATGGATGGTAATTTTCCAACCATTTGGATCTTCAACAATATTTTCAATCAGTTTCACAATGAATTAACTTTGCATTTACTATGGCTCCTATCACAATATGATAAAAATAACCTGACATCAAAGAGATATGACTAACCTATGTTATTATACCTCAGTATGTTTTTTCTATATAAAAAAGAATGAAATATTTGTGCTATTTCATTCCACAGACTATTTGCCAGTCAATAGTTTCAAAGACTATTACCCCGGTCAATAGTTTTATAAACATATTTCCCGTACTTTTTCATACTAATTTTTCATTGGACAACAATGACGTCATCGACTATTCTGCTTGGATTTGTGCACTTGGCAACGTTAAACTCTGAAATATTGTAAACGTTATAATCTGTATGTATCTGTCGTAATTTCAAATTAATATATTACTTACCAGAAGCAATTGAAAAAGAAAATCTACGCGACATATTTTAAGAACTAAAACATGTAATGTATGGTATTGGTCTGTCGTCGTCTTCATAATCTGGGATTGCTTTGGTGTACGGTAAAATATTTTAGCTAATGTTTATCATATGCACAGGAATTTTTACACAAGGATTCCTGGTCTTGATTACAGTAAATAGGTTATTGACAAATACCACACAGGGAAAAAAACCTGATAGTTCATGTTGTACATGTTTATGTGATCATTTTTTTTTCAAGTGGTTAATGTAGTCTTTTTAGAAAGTTGTTTTGTTCGGTATAATAAAACACTTAATGACTGGTTATGAGGGTAATAGCAAGTTTGTTGTCCCTTTGAAACTAACTATTGCCCTCGGCTTCGCCTCGAGCAATAGTTGGTATCTCAGGGACAACAAACTTGCTATTACCCTCATACCCAGTCAATAGGTGTATACTACTGAACAATTAACTTTAGCAAATTTGTTATGCTGCAAACACCGGAATAAGTACAATACATTTTTGTAGGTGTCATTTTTTTGTTTTGTGAATAAACAGTATATGAAAATTAAAGCACTTTTATTTTCCCATCACGTATGGTATACTTTTGTTCAACTTTTCATCCATCTGTCCATGCTGCAAGTCCTGATTATACTTAGGTTTGCTTTTGCCAGTTTCGGACCTTTGCCAAACTTGTATACGATGTTTTCGTTAGTAAATACAAACTGCCTTTCATTTCTTAGGGTTCTTTTTGTTGTTATTCTTAAGTTATTGGAATTTAAATTCAAAGAATTTGACAATTTAGATCACATATCATTATAACTTGTTTGCTTTGTTGAACAGTGTAGAAAAGTCTTTTACAAAATATTTATTAATCTATATTACTAGTAATTGGACTTTAATCTTTAAAATTCTATGATTTGGAGAAATTGTCTCACAATAACTGAAATTTGATGAGTTATCAAACTGACGTACTGGAGTCATAGGACTTTTTCAAATACAGACACAACTTTATGTGTCTTGCAAAAAAATAAAATTTTCATCTAATTCCATGAGATTTTACTACGTCCTGACTTTTAAATCATATTTCATACTTTCAGATTTGTTGTGGCTTGGAGTGATGAGACTGTTTCTCTTTATCCATCACTGTTTTCAAGATGATACCCATTAATACTATAAGTTCATAAATATTATTAAAGGATAATCATTTTAAAATTGTGTTTTTACTGTGTTTTACCTGACATTTTTCCATTGACAGGATGTTGTTCATAAAGTGAGATACAAATCCCATAACCTTTCTCTGACTTCTTTTTCCAGTCTGTAATTCCTGCGACATCAACACTATTGAATCCTGTATTTCCATCTGTTAAAATCAAATCACAAATTAAATTCTAAAATAATGGATATGGTATAAAATATCCATACTTTTTTAATTGGGAATTACATCTTTTAACGTAATTTATGAAATAGTCATTGTTGAATAATTGAGAATAAAGTACTTTGAATGAAAAAAATGAATTAACAGCTGCACCTAAAGAAAACTTTTTTCTTTCAGGAAATTTCTAATTTTCATCAATTATCTGAGCATCCCTTCTGGGCATGTTTCAAAAATACTATTTTGGTTTAAAATATTTTCAAAGTATCATTCAATATATAACAGATACATCTAAAACATGAAATTTTAAGATTAAACTATCAAAAAACAAGAGGCTGTCAGAGTAACAGCAAACCGGATTTCCTGCAGAGGTCGAACCCTGAACAGTTGAGCAAGTATGGACACTACATTTAAGCTTAAAACAGCTCTGAATTTGGATTGTGATTCAATATTTGACACAGCATATGTTTGTGACACAAAATGAATGTGGTCAAAGAACTGAAATATTTGAAATTGGACATTTACGTATTATGGTCCAATATCAATGTACATTGTTAGAATCAGCATATCAGAGAACCCCAAGAATTCAATTTTTGATGAAATCAAACAAAAGTTTAATTAGGACCCTTTGGACCTCAATGTGGACCAATTTGATAAAGGAGCCCACAATCCAAATCTCTAAATACATGGTTAGATTCAGCATTTCGAAGAACCCCATAAATTCAATTTTTGTTGAATCAAACAAAGTTTAATTTTGGACCCTGATTTGGACCAACTTGAAAACTGGGCCCAAAAATCTAATATTTAAATACAGGTTTAGATTCAGCATTTGAAAGAACCCTATATATATTTAATTTCTGTTGAAATGAAACACAGTTTAATTTTATCCATATAATTTTCTGTTCAAAGGTAAATAACTCAAACTGAATAAATTATAAACACATAGTTCTCTAAAATTAGATATGATTTAAGCACTATTTTCTTAAATTAGATATGATGTTACACAATGTATATCTATTTTCAAATTATAATCAAATATATAATTAATAGTTCCAAATATTTTTTCTTTCATTTGTCACAAACTAATATAGATCTGCAACTTATCTATCTATGTCAACAACTTTATCTACACAATGTAATGTAATGAAATATATCCCTTAATAAAAAAAGATTATTATCTAATTAAAGGAGTTCACTTCATCAAAAAAAATTATATATAAGCATTCAGAAAATTAGTTTATACAGAATAACAAACAAACCCACCACAAAATTCATCAAACAAGTAACCAAAGAAAAGAAAAAAAAAATCCAAAATGTCATTTATCATTCATACAATGTCTTTTGAACATCTTTTAAAAAATGAGTTATTTCCCTATGAACAGAATGGAGTAATTAATAAGAATTTCATCAAAAAAGGGCTATTACTCAACAACAAGAAAAGCTAAAATCATGAAAATTGAACTTCACCTTCATTTAGTCACAGGAAACAACATATCTAAATTTGAAAAAATTTCGTCAAAGCATTTTCATGTTCATTAACGGACACTGTTTGGTAGCCGCCTGCCGTACATCCCCAAATCAATAACCGATTTTTCTTTTGAAAATCCAGTTAATTAAGTGTCCTGAAGTGTATTTAAATTTTCCTTTTAAATTCAATGGCAGATAATTATATTGAATTTGATAGGACAATTTGGTTTTGAGGGGATTTTTCAAGAAAATAAAGCCTGTGGCCCCCTATTTTTATTAGATAAGTTTTGTGAAAAGTAATTCTCTCAATGAAAAAAGTAAAAATAACAAAAATATCGAAATCCAAGGAAAATTCCAAACAGAAAGTCCCTTATCGAATGGCAAAATCAAAAGCTCAAACACATCAAACGAATGGAAAACAACTGTCATATTCCTGACTTGGAACAGGCATTTCCTTATGTAGAAAATGGTGGATAAAACCTGGTTTTATAGCTAGCTAAACCTCTCACTTGTAGGACAGTTGCATAAAATTAAATTATATTGACCATGATGTGTGAACAAAACAAACAGACATAATAGGTAAAAATGTCAAAAATAGGGGTAGCAGTCAACATTGTGTTATAATCTTAATCACTATAAAAACAAACATATATGTCAACAAAGAAAAACAAAATGGCATATAGACAAAGCACATTAGCAAAAATGAAAGACAAGAATACAAAAAATGACCATAGCACAATAACACAATGGCGGGATGTATAAGTACCGAGCCACGCCAAAAGAATATTACCACAGTGAAGGTTTATAATTTACAAAGACAAATAAAAGAACACTATAACACGTAATTAAGATGATAAACAACATCAGTACCTAGAATCTATACTAAGTTCGTTCGCGGTAACTCAGGAAGACCATCATGTATTATTTGTGAAGAATTTATGAATTTTAATCAATCCTATCATTTAATGTTTCCTCAATAAAAAATAAAAGAAGAATGCGTCTGAGCCTCTGAGGACACTAATGCCCCTGCTCAAGCTTTCCAATTTCCAAATTAAAAAGGGGCATAACTCTATAACAGTAAATGACTCACTGCCAAAATTAAAACTCTGTCTGCAAGTTTTGGTTCTTTTAATGGCATATGTCTAGTAAAGACATCTACGTGTATTCAGCATCTAAATGAAAATGTTTTTATTAATCGGCATAAAAGATCTTAGAAAATCAGACTTATTGGACCACTTTCCAGTCCTTAAATGTATATCAGACTTTTCAAGACCAAAATCAGTCAAGTTTCCTTTTATTGGTTCACCTGTTATTGAGAAGAAGTTTTTCTAACTTCAACCAATCAGAAATTGATCAGAAAGGCCATGGCAGCAATGTTTGTTGACTAATTGGCACCAAAGTAACAAAACTTGAAGGACCTTGTTAGGTACATACATGTACAACAAAAAATCATTCCAAATTAAAAAAAAAATCATTTTTTGCTCTTCTTTAGTCAGTTAGTGTCTTATCAAAACATGAGTAGGGCCATGATTTAAACTTCAATTGGAAGGATTATTGCGATCAGACAAATAGAAAAAATGTTTTAACATGAACTTCTGATGGTAAACAACAATGATCATGATGAAGATAATCAAATAGAGTTAAAGACTGCACAAGACAGTTTAACAATTACAAATGTTGGTGGTTTTATTAAAAGGATGCTAAAAAACATATTTTCCAAAACAGAAGTATATTGAAAACTGTCAGATTGATGCATCAAATATATAGTGCATTGATATGTAATGGAGACATATTAGTAAGTTTTGTGTAACTAAGTGAAAACAATAAGAGGATGTCATCTATATATACTTTGTTCTCTAACAGGAAATGCTAGGCCATCATCTGGTCCTGTGTAACTTGCTGTTATTTCATCGTCCAAAGTATCCAAATCCAACACAGGAATATCGTCTGGTATCTTCCCTGAGAAAAGTTCATGACTATAGCTTGCCATTCTAGCCCTGTAAAAACACAATATTACAAAAATATTAATCATGTTAATAAATACTTTAATGTACAAATGATGTAAGTTACTCTTATCCGAAATGAAATCTTTATTCAGATGCTCCAAACCTAACATTACATTTTGTTTTATTTATGTGGGATTACATGCATGAGAATGATGAGCTATTTTTTTTTAACTAAACGTGGAGCAATGATTGAAACAAAAGTGCATTTTTTGTTTGCATAAAAAAATATTCCATTCAAAGAATATATTTTTATATTACATGTATTAGAAAGTAAAAGTTTACAGCTATGAAATATCTTTTTTTAAACAAAATTCTGAGGACAGATCTTGTGAGAAATCACAACTAAAAGTGAAAATGAATATTTTCCCCTGCTTTTTACATACATTCTATACATTTATAAATCTTTTTCCCAAATTTTTGATTGACAATATTTTTGCAGAAAATGCTACATTTGAGATGGATAACCATCCTATCCTTTCTTTTCTATTACATGAATTAATAGACCTTACTAACCATTACTGAGCATCACAGTCATTCCCATCACAAGAGAAAATATTTGATGCCACAAAAGAAAAGATGTTGAATGAAGTCAAAAGTTCAAGCATACCTGTCAACCTATGAAAATGAAAATGCAGGTCATGCATGACCTGCATTGAGAAAAAAACTCAGGTTGTAATGCATACAAACTTTTTACAGCTGAATTTAAGTATTTTTTATGGGACATTTTGTAATATTCTAAATCTAACAGTTCATGAGTTTCCAAAATATGTTCAAAAGGTTGAGTATTATTTGAAAATAATTTAAAGCTTTAAGTTTATTTTTTCATTGCATTTATAAGCCATTGAAATATTAATGCATTATACTATATCAATTCAAGCCAAGCCCCCTCTTCTTCATTCATTCATTGTTTTAAACCTATCCACAAGCCACATTTTGTACAACATATTAAAGCCATTTAGCATCAATATACAGCTTTATTTATTATTCCATTAGCATGATTAGGAGGTAGTGGATAATAGAATATATAATTTAAGATTTTTAATCATTTAAAGAAAGTAGAGATGAATAAATGGGGAATGTGTCCATGGGACACAGATGATGCCCCCGCTTGCATATCATATAAAGTTATAAACTGAAGAACGGTAAAAGTGACACTACCCAAATTTGTACTTGATCTGACTTTTGTGGTAATAAGTATTGTGTATAAGTTTCATAACATTTGGTTGAGGCAAACTAAAGTTAGAGAACGGAAACCAACTTTCAGATGGACGGACAAGGGTAAAACTTAATGCCCCCTCCGCTACAGCGGGGTTATAAAAAAATAATTTTCAAAATATTTAATTTTTCAATTGTTCTAAGGTAGAAAAATAATAGAAAGTAATATTCTGATATGTATTTGCATTCAATTTGCCTTAGATTTAATCTTTTTACAAATAAAACATAAATCTAAGAAGTATATAATATTGTGAAAGGTGGCAAAAAAGGGGAGTAACTCAATTTTTTTTTTCAAACAACTTTGAAATACATAAATCATTTATGACCTTAAAGGGAAAATTCGCGATTTTTTACTTTTCATCTTATTATGTTCATAATACCATAAAAAACATATTTACCAAGTTTTATCTGGATATGAACACTAATAAAGAAGAAAATTGGGAATTAATAATTTAATTTATTCCAACTTCCTGACTTATGTGACGTAGTTTAAGTCTTTTTGCATGCCGGGAGTGAATAAATCTCGTTGTAAGTCTTGTTCGTTAATCATCTAATAACGCGATTTAAAGCGCATCAACGACTTTTGGCGTAGCTATTAACCAACTAATAATTAAGAAAGTAAAGTGATCCGCCGTGCAACTTTCAAAATTAAAATGTACAATTTATATTTAAAGGATTTCTGATATGATTATAGCAATAAAAGTAAATCATACAATAGAATATATATTCATGAATTTTTTTTCCGACGGATATTTTGAACAAACATATATAACTGATATTGTTTTACAAATGCATGTTTGTATTCTCACCTGAAGGCTTTTACTTCAGTCTAGTACTGTGTAAATACAATGTGTATTGTACTGTGACACTAAGTGACCACCTGTTGAATGCGTGGTTAAATTCAAGGTAATTAAAAGATTAGCATTCTGTAATTCTATTCTTTTGATCTTCACTCAGTGAATTTTAGCCAACACGGTTCACCGTTACAGGTGTGAACAACATTTCGTATGAATGATAAAAACATTAATTATTTGGGGAGGAATATGGTGGCAAAATACAATGTTTAGAGAAAATTATCGCGGTTACATGATAAATATAGCTTGGTCCGTCCACAGCGATCTACATTTACCTAATCGGGAATGCCCTTATTAAAATATTTAAAATCTCACAACGTATACATACTTTAGCTATTTGACCAACGATGTTTAAAAAAATAACAGAATCAATCTAACGTTAACTTTCCTTTTTTGAATGGAGACAGACCGGAGGAATCAATTTTCAATGTGCTTTATATCTTGTACCTTTGCAAGGCTTATTATTCATTCATAAACCCACTTTATACCAGAGACATATATGTCAGTCTTAACTGACAAGAATACACCTAAAGTGGACAAGCAGTATTTTCTTTAAGTTTCTGTGATTTAATACTAAGAAAGAAAAAAATCCCGAAATTAATTTGATACTTTGATACTCAATATTTTTCCTGGAAAATATTCATATCCTCGTTTGGTCTGAAAATAAGATAAGAATTTGGTATACAGAACATGCAGAAGTGTGAATGTCATAAAACCTTGTTATATCAGAAACCATTATAAGTGTGAACCTGTATACGTAAGACCTCATGGGACGTCACCTAACCACATACAGGTAATATACAAGTAGCTAGATGTTATACACGGAAATGTCAAGGTAAATCACTACCGATATGATTGTACCAATGCAAAGAAAATTCTGATGATTGTGAAGCATGACCATTCATGATTTTAGTGGAGTCTTAGGTAGAAATTGCCGGTACGATTTAAATTCTGACTATATTTTTTTCTCTCAATTTAAATCACTGAACTTAAAAAAAAAAGAAACATACGCCCAAGATCAGAATTCTTCATGTAAATTCATAAATACAACGTTCTTATTTTGTAACTTTCGATATACTTCACCCCCAACCACCGCCCCCTCCCAACCTGGGAACAGTATATCTAACATTACAATGTTTGTGTACCTGCCCAAATAAAAAAAAAAGATGAAAAAAGAAAGAGATGAACGGTAAGTCACATCAGATTCAAATATTTATATGGTTGATTGTCGTTAACTAGAGATGTAAAGTTACATGTCTCTGCGTTAACTTATAAGAATGACAGGAAAGTCTATACTTGAAATAGATTTATGATGAATAATATGCAACTACAGCACCCCTTTTTATCAAAGTGTACATGCATGTATTTTAATGACTGTCCGTTATTTCGATTAAGAATGACAATTGTACGTGAAATTCTATAGTTGCCAGTGAGACTTTTTTTTACCAGATATGCGACTTTTTGTATTTATATTTTCTCTTATATTACTCTCATTTAATATTTTATGCATAAGTGCAATATTAGGAATGGTTTATCCCCCCTCCCTTTTAAGCTAACTAAATAAATTAATCAACCTTCTAGCTGACCAGACGTTAACACATCTACTATCAGTCAATTCGGAGTGAAGTTTTTTTATTTCTTCAAATAAGCTTTTTGGGGATCATTAGTGTACGTCCAGTGGCATATATATTACATGCATGTCGGAACAGGAAAATTGACATGAGGTATAATAGAACCATGTTCACATTATTACATTATTATATATAATACACAACCATTGAGATGATGACGACTTTCTTAAACTGTTCAAAATAATCTTATGGAAATAAAAATCTGTGATTTTACTATGTGCATAACTTTGATGAACCAAAGCAAGTTAGATATAAATAAATAAAATAAATAAAAATAAATAAAATAAATAAAATAAATAAATAATTATTTTATTATAGTGTCACATATTTGATCAAACAATATATATATACAACAATTCATAAATCGAAAAACAGAGATCAAATATCCAGCCTTAGAATAGACTTATGAGACACTTAGATATCGACCTGTATTTAAATCAGATTGGTTTTGGATGTTTCTCTCGTATATTCAATATACATGTATATATTCTAAATTGCGACTATCTATAGTTCCGTAACCTTCTATCTAGGCGTATAATCCAATGATCGACAAGTGCGTACATTTTGTTAAATCAATATTTGTACGTTTCAAAATGTCCATAATTATTGACAACGAGTAATTACTTACATTTTCCCCAATTTATGTTTGGAAAATATGTAAATATATTTTTATTTTATCAAATCTTTTTTTGGAATTATTTAGATTTTCATAAATGTTCTTTTACACCATAAATGTTATTTATAAACAAGCGTACGAGTTTAGTCATATATATAATGGCTATTATATCTATGGTTTAGTAAAGACTAGCATATCACTATCGGACACGCAAGACAAAGATGTATATTCACCTGATAGTTTCAAAATGGAAAGTTACAAGTTATCGTCCGTGTACACTTCTCAATACCCTCAGAGGTGAAGTGATGCACGAACTTGCTTTATGTAATTGTGTAATAAGAGTTTTCAAGCCCGACAGGAAATCGCTTGAATACCTGGACGTGTCAACTCACAATACCTCTGGGAACAATTCCTTTAGCAATGCTGGTGATCAGATAAGGGAAGGTCCGAATTTATTTAAATAAGATTATTACATAAATGAATTATGAACACACTAGATTTTCGAAAACATTTTTACACGGAACACTTAATTTATCACTTTGAACTTTTTAACTAATTTTCATTAACATTTCTTGTTTCAAAAACTTAGTAAAAAAAAAAACAGTTTCAAAACGACAGACCATAGTACTAGTTATTCAAAAAAATTATATATAATTACATTTTCCGTATCAAGTTAGTTAGGAAAGGTTGCATGCACAACCATGTCTATTATAATCTTTTTTTGTGACCCGGGAAACTGTTTAGGCTTTCCTTGTCGGGTAAAACAACCGTACGCTTGACAAGATATCGACACTCAATTACGGCTACATTAGGTTACTGCTTGTTTTGGTCCTTTGTGGTTTATAGATATATCGTGGTTTCTATTCTGGGATGATGTCAAAATGGCTGCACGCGGAGAAGTGATACTCTAAATTTAAAATCGATGGTGATCTCTTATCTAGCAGAATTAAACTTTAATATTTATGAATTTGTGGTTTTTTATACATAATCAACATAATATCAATTTTTCATTTTTTTGCGAAGTTTCCCTTTAAGCTATGGTAATTGGTGTTAATTAACAGTGTGTTTGACACCAAAGCTGTCAAGTGTAGCCATGCACTAAATGGGTCACTTAATTTGACAGTTAACAGCTAGTTCAACTTCTGTCCAGAAAGATAATAACATGCACTATGCTATGTCCATGTTCAAAACGTACAAGTTTAACATGTTGGGGACAACCCACCACATGGCAATCTGATTAATACCAGCCTCCACTATCCACTTGCTTCTGTAGGGTCGGGAGAACACTAATATCGGGTCATGTACGGTGACCCCATAATTCAGCCAATCAGATCGCTACTTTAACTACAAACGCAAGTGGATAGTGAGGGCTGGTTTTAATCAGACTGACCACATGGGGAATAGTTCCCCAAAAGAGTAACTATCCCGCAAATCAGGGATATTTATCTAGTATTAAAAAAACTTTGTTTTTAATCCACATTTAATACTTGAAATAGCACATATTCTTAAAAATGTATCAAATTTCTTAAATGATGAATGCATAGTATGGGAACCACACCATATATTGGTACTAGTTGAAGCGGAGAGAGATTGTAAAATTATGTAATCACAGGTAAAAATTCCAATTTTTAATGCATTTTTTTATGCATTTGTAATTTATATTGCACGCGTCTTGTATAATGATATGTTGGGACTTGACCTGTTCCTAAAATCATTTAGGAATATTAGATAAGAGCGTAAACTAAATCTTGAGATAAAAAACTATCATCTAGTACCGGAAAAAGAGGAACGGATTACTTCAGATCAAGAAAAGTAGCTGGTTTAATGCCTGCAATGATTGGATATTCCTTCCTAGATGCCTAGTACAAAAATGTATTTAATTATGACCCACTATCATGACTATAAATACACAAGAACATCATTTTCATAAATTGTCTTTAAAAGTTATGTTTATCACAAGGACAAAGTTTCAATAGTGTACAGCAACTTATGTATTGATATGTATGGCAGCTTGCATTTTACAACCTCTCTCGCTTCAGCTTGTTCCAATATCCAGTGTCGCGCCACTAAAGTGGAACTGTCCTTATCTGAGAAGTTACAAGCCTATGAACACTGCTAAGAACTAACAATTGTCAAGGCTATTAACCTTTTAAATCCTCCTATGTAAAAATTGGTTATTCCCTCATTAAAATATGACAAATAGACTTTTCTAAACGAACTTAATAGTCTCAAACTTGGAAACTAATATAACATATATTACATGTATTATAGGATTCCTGAGATTTAACGAATAATGGCATAACGTCAGACATGTCAGATTGACAGATATAACATCAAAGAATAAAGTTTGGCGTCATTTCCCAAATTATTTACAAAATGAAAATAAAAATGAAAAATACTTTGTGGGTGCTATGACCTTCATTCTAAAAACGACATGGTAAATGGGTTAATCATAAAATGTAAATGCATGTTAATTGAGTAATCATGGTGATTGTTAGATTTATCAGTTGGGGGATATTTACCCATATGTCAGGTTGTCCTCCTTCTGAGCCCTTATTCAAACACTTAAACTGGATGACAGTTGAACAGAGAATAAAATATCACAAGTTTGTGATGACATTTAAGTGCATCAAAAATGATGCCCCATCATATCTTACTAGCAAGTTTCATTATGTTTCAGACAGAAATCCATACCCCTTGAGAAATGCTGTTCAAGGAAACCTCATACTCCCTAAATCAAAAATAGAATTTTTCAAGAAATCTTTTATGTATTCTGGACCATTCTTGTGGAACAATTTGCCAATATCGTTACGAAATATTACAAACACATGACAAATGTTAATTCTTTCAAATACAAAATAACAGATCATTTATTGAAATCAACCAGTTGAAAAAATATTGAATATTAATTATTTCTTCATGCTTATTTTTTTATAACATTTTATGCAGTTGTACTGAACATTATCATTATACTTGACTTTCATACTAATGAGTAATGTATGCCATGTATATGTTTTCTTTTTTGTTTCTGCCTTTTTCTATGATGAGGGCCTCAGGGAAGATGTTATATAGCTAACTGTGTTACCCTCTTTAAATAAAGTATAGTTGTTGTTGTTGTTAAATAGTGTCAAAACTCTTCATTTATTTCAATCCTATTAAGCAGTATCTTAATATTTAATATATCAATATGCAATTATGGAATTGAGAATGGAAACAGGGAATGTGTCAAAGAGACAACAACCTGAAAACAGCCCAAGGCCACCAATGGGACTTCAACACAGTGAGAAAATCCCACATCCTGAGGCGGGCTTCAGCATGTTCATCTGGCAATTTATTTTGTTTCATGACAAAGAAATATATCCCCGTTTTGACATTACATTTCTCTCAGGCTTACCATCGGTAAGCAAAATCTAAAAAAAAATACAGCATAGGAATCCAAATATTAATTTGGGTTAGTTTTTCACTAAGTCTATAGTTGATAAAATGTAAAATTTAAACATAAAGCCATTTAAAGAAATGATAAGAGATTCAAATCAACAAATGAACAGTTCAGTACCGCTGTAAACATTACTATGTTTGTCGTCTCTCTTTTGTCTTTCCCATATGGATATTTCAGGTAATTTAGAGATAAAAAGAAATGACGAATAAGAACTCTGTTTATGTTAATTTTCCTAGCAATCGAAGTTCGTCTTTATCTTTATCCAATCACAATGCATTTTTATACGAGAGTATAAAATTTCAGTTTTGTAAATCACACTGATGATGAAGACGATGTCCTTGACCTATACAGTATCAATTCGTCCTATTTTAGTATCTCAAGTAAAGTCGTCCCATCTTAACAAAGGACGACAAACCTTGTAATGTTTAACACATCTATTAAAATTTAACATTGTTTTGAAATTTTGACATTTTTATATTTTGACTGAAAAGTAAAATTAAGTGTGTTTTTTTTTAAATATTCATATTTCAGGTAATAAGTCAACAAAATAATAATGGTAAATTTGAAAAAAAATACGTTCAGTTCGTCGGTTCTATAGTTTGAAATTTCGATAACTATCCTTTAATACAAATTTGAGAATGGCATGTATATAATTTCATTCTTACTGGAATGCAAGTATCTTTTATGTATATTAAAATCTGGTTCTCAACTTGGATTAACAGTTTTAAAAAAACACACATGTATGTGCTTTAATTTGTACCATATGCAATCTATCAGCTGATCTATTGAGTTAAGCCATTTGCAACTGATTTTTGCAGTTTGTTCGCAGTATGTTGCGATGTTGCAATACTGTCCAAGCTAGGGCAGGTTTGGGCTCGCAAACATGCTTAACCCCGCCACAAATATCAAACCAAAAGGCGAATAAAATTTAAAGTCGGTAAAAAATTATCATACAATACAGTAAAACATAGCTATCTAGAGCTTTTAAAACCGACATACTAAAAGTACTTTTATATTTTAAAAAGCATGACTGAGCCAAGGATTTATATAGTAACTATATATATAATATATATTTACTATATAAATCCTTGACTGAGCGTAGCAATTCGATGAAATTTTTATAATATAAAAAGGTCCTACTTTGTTTCATGAAAAAGAATTCCCAATATAGATACATGTACAAGTTTCTTGCCTTAGGGAGGGATAACTAAAAAAACCCACTCTCATTCAAACACAAAATTCTTTGAAACTGACATTATCAAGGTGGTTGATTTCTGGATTGACAACAATTTGTTATGATTGGAGGACGTGTTTTCAACCGTGAAACAATCGACACTCCCATGGGAATCAACCGTGCTCCTCTTCTTGTCGACTTGTTCCTTTATTCTCAGTATGAGTGCTCAGGCAGAATTCATACAGGAGCTTCTTATGAAGAATGAAAAAGAGCTAGCAAATTATCCGTTAGATTCACGTTCCGCTATGTAGATGATTTCCTCTCACGAACTAATTCAAAACTTTGTGACTATGTTGAACGCATCTATCCTATCGAACTTCAAAATAAAGGATACAGCAGATACAGTTAATTCTGCCTCATATCTTGACTTACATCTAGCATTTGACAATGAGGGGCGGTTTAGAACAAAACTTTACAACAAAAGAGATTATTTCAGCTTCAAAATTGTGAACTTTCCATTTGCATTTCCATTTCAGCGCCTGCATATAGAGTATTTATCTTACCTCCTATACATTTCTTAGAATATGATTGGTTAAAAGCAACCACGTGGAGACCGTGTATATTCCATATTGGGTTAGTAGGCCGGGGCTTAATTCAATACACGGATAGTAGTTCGTTACGTCCCTTTATAAAAATGACACGGTGTTGAGGGGAAATCTTAACGGTTTCAACAGACGAAGAAACTGATGATGAACGATTGAAATAAATTCATAAAACACATTTAAAGCTAACAAGTTGTTATTTTTGGCATTTGTTTTTGTATAGACCAATGGAAGTAGGTTCTTAATACTAACGGTATTGCATACTTGATCACTTTGATAGGCCACTAGTCTAAATACCACATGTTAAGATAGTCGGTAAGATAAATTCGTTACATAGTGTGCTAGTGACCTAATACGATATATATGGGGTCAGTAAATTCCATATGGGGTGAGAGCTACATAAACTACATAATGGTAAAATCTTCAAAACTTTCAAAATTATGCTAATTTTTTTTTATAAGTGTATGATGTCACTTTGATGACATTAACACCTGTGAAATTGACATTATTAACATAGAAAGGTCGTTTTATTCATAGTTTTGAGCAAAATAACATATGAGCCAATGCCATACCTAAAAAGATATTTTACCTATATTACCATCTGTGATAAGACATCTTGTAGCAAAATATCCTTTATAGTAAATACCCAAATAGACATTGACAATATCTCAAACCCATTGACAACATATATATTTATTAGCAATGACACACGCCATGACACTACATTTGCATGCAGCTCATTGGCACTCATACCACATCTTCTCATATCTAAGTACTAGAACGAGTTATACTTATGACTTTCCTTTACCGCAGTGACTTTTATAGACGAAAGGGAGATCGATATATGTTTCTGTTCACTTACTACTGAACGATTTTCCTTTTCCCAGACAGATAAAAAAATTTTCGTAAAAGATTATCAACCTTCCAGACCGTTGTGTGACTTGTTAATCAACTACAGGTCACTCATGCAGTAGCCCTAGCTCCTGCTATATTTAAATTAAGGAAAAGGCTATTGAACGTCTAATGATAAAATAGACTACTATAACAGAAAATAAGTCTCGAATCTTCTAGCTGTTTACACGACTACGACAGGTAAAGGGACCATCCGTCAAAAGTTGAACATAGAAAACTCAATTCATTAAACATGTAGTTTGTAAAATAAACCAACACGTGTTCCTTGTTTTTGTTTCCTTACAAACCGAGGCTTTCCCGCAATACTTAATTTGCGAATGAATTTTTCACGCAAAAACATATATACAACAGAAACGAATACGAATTATGTGTGTTTATATAGCAGATTCACAGTGGAGAGTGTATGATCGTGTCCGTCAAATAAAATGATAAGCCGGGTCGGTTTTACGCTTAGCCTATGTGAAGTTTTCAGCATTATGTATCTGTTGGTCAGGAGTCTTTTTGGGCTTTATGATTTATATCAAAATTTGCGGAGAAATTTCTCACGACATCAAATTGGTTATGTCAGTTTGAAAGTATATGCAAAGGAAAACGAACATGTTGTATATCAAAACACGCAAAATCAACAACGGGGGCATACAATTCGAGGCCAATAAAGACAGTTTCTGTTTTTAGCATCAATAAATTCGTACATTGCAGGAATTCGTATAACTTCCGTGACGTTTTGAAGAACGGCGGGAAAAGCAGCAGGACGATCTTGCATTAAGAATACACAAAATTTAGCGCAAGAAAGGGAAATGGGATCTCAGGCATTTAAAAAAACCACGCAGTTATTCGTATTTCTAGCTAAAACAATTAGCACATGCACATCCCTTTTTTTCTTTTGCAATCGACCATGCATCCATACTTAAGCTTCAAGAATGTTTTATCGAAATTGCAAGAAAAAAAATCAACGACAGAATTTTGTATGATATGCATTTGAAACTTGTCTACCGCTTTTTATTACTCGCGAATAATTATATATGATTCCACAAACATTTTATTGTATTCAGCTTCACTTGATGGAATACTTTTAATGCCTTTTAATTATGGAACACTTTACAAAAAATCGGGTAAAAATATCTCTTTTCTTTTGAAAGTTGTGTCACTTTTTCGGAAAAGAATTGAAAAATAAAATTTTGTCTTTTTACATGTTTTAAACATTCAAATTTCACAGCTTAATTTGACTTCTCCAACTGGCCGTTAATTAACCACAGCTTCAACATGTGTGATTTATGACAACATCTCGATGGATGTATAAATATTGACATCTACTGTATGTGCAATGTCTATTATGTAAACTACATATATATATATAAAAAAATGCAGATCAGGAAAGAAATGACCAAAATCGGGCTTTCAAGAATAGGTACAAAAAGAATGATGTTCAGTGTTAAAAAAAATGTTTTTTTATAATAAAAAACTCACGTTACGGTTTTATGGTTTTCCGATTTCTAGGGAATGCTTTTTTTTCAATCGGTACAGTATTTTTTCGGACTTTATTCAACAACAAACTATTTTTTTTTCAATAACATACAGGATTTTTTTTAAAAGCTGCATGAATGCCAATTCTGTTTTTTCCCTTATTTTCAATGAAAACACACAATTTGTTTGAAAAAAACCTCTCACAACCACCACCACCACCACCACAACCCATACTAGCATAAAGTCATTTATACATTTCTAGACAATTATTTAATTTTAATTTCATGGTGCCCCCAGACATCGAGGTTCTGGGTCCGCCACTGAATCAACGAGATGTATTTTCTATTATAGTATATATTGTATTAACAAAAGGGAAGAGACCGTCCGCTTTGGAATGAGTAGGTGCTTGCTATGCGATCTAACAGTAAGGTATGTCAAGAGGGGTTCCGATGGCTCTAATTAGCATACACACAGCAACAATGAGAAGTAAATGGCGCAACCAAGTCTAACAGTAGGGAAAAACCAGGAAAATGCAGTAAGAGAATCGATGAAAACAAATGGAAACATTCAATTTGGTCTGCAGGTTTGTTCTTTGAACACTTTCACTCATATTTTTAGCATGACAACTGTCAATTTCGGTTCTTTGCACATGCTGCAAACTGTCGTATGCTCGTCGGGTCATAAATGCATTTCCTTTTCAAAAGAATTTCATTAAAAAGAAAAGAAAATAAAGACGCCTGTCAAGTTTTATTGAAATTTTATAAATATTTCTTTGGTTGATATGTTTTATTCAGATTATACTGTAAAATCAAGGTATTTATGTATCTGCTTTTATATCTCGATCGTCTGGGTTTCCCGTAAAAACGAATTTGCTTAATTTTACTGGATGGGTATCTATTATGGTCATTGGTCGATATATAAAAATTCGCGTCTTTACAGGAGGTATAGATAAATTCTATCTGATGAAAAATTGAACAAAGGGACCGAATGACAATACAGTTTTTACTTGACCTAATTTATTACGTCATTTGTATTTTAAATTTAAATTACCCCAGCTGGTGCAAGAATGGTAATTATTTTCCTAACATTGTTTATTAATAAACAAGTTGCTTTTAAAAAAAATACTTATTCACTTTAAACAAATTACTTTTTTTTCTTTTCTCAAACTGTCAAAGAAATTCAGACTATTATTGTTTTGATTGACTGCCAACAGTGAGGTCATGCACTTGGGGTCATGGCTGATCAGCTGTTTTCCCATATTTCCTATAGATACCTAATATACAACTCAAACATGTCAAAGAATAATAATGTCTTTAAGAATTCAAGCAAATCACTTTTGTTATTTGTTTTATTAAAAATGAAAATGGCTTGATAGTCTAGAAAACATATGTATATAAAGTTTGCTGAAACAGGAATAAGCTGTACAAGTCACAAATAAGGAAAAATGTTTAATTTGTTGGAATTTTCAATGTGTACATTTGATGTGGGCATTAAAACTATGGTGGAAGGATATTTTGACCATCATACTAAAAAGGAGCATTTGTATTAAATTAAATTGTGAGGGGTCTATTGTACATATTCCTAAAGAAATTTCATGTGGATCAGGACCAAAATTCCATTAAAATTTGTACATAACCAAAAAGTAAATTTTTATTTACAAACATTCAGTGAAAATGGGTAAAATTGGTAAACATGCAAATTGTTCCTGTGTTAGTAATAAAAAAAAACCAGACCTGTTACATAAGACCAACAAGGCCAACGAAAAGCAATTAGTAGATTTTGATCCCACTTTTGGGGTGGAAAATGGGGTTTGAAGCAGGGATTTAATTTTTTATCAATTGACAAACCAAAAAATGTCTTTCAACAAATGGTCAATATATTAAACAAACTTACCCCAAAATTGTTTTATAAAGATATTTTTTTTATCAATAAGGTGGAATACCCCTTCTACCTCCATGACCTCCCACCTTTTAAAGTCCTCCACTGAGAAAATCTAAAAATAAAGTAATCTCATGATGTTGAAAGATTGAGGAAACGTCTTGCTCACATGAAGCAATTTTGCTGAGAAATTATCTTTTTTTATAATTTTATAGGTTCCAGACCATTTTGCAAGTTCAGATTTAATGAAATCAACAGAAGAAAGTCGGTCTTTGAATTTCAATTTCCTTGGACCAAACCAGTCATGTTTTGATGAGGCACACAGAAATGGACAGGTAAACAAGTAATGAAGGAAAATGTGCCTGTCATTACTCAATATTTTTCAAAATTTAATTTCAAGAAAGGCCTTTGAAGACTTATTTCCAAATTTATTGCCTTATAGGAAAAATGATATTCCCAGCAACTTCATAGTCTATTTGATTAAAAAGTATTGTTACTGTGTAACATCATTTAGAAAAGGTTATGCATTGAGACAATACTTTGAACTTGTTGAAAAGTCCCAACCTTATTTAATTGTTATAACATTTGTGTATAAAGCATAATTGAAAAATATATATTAAATTCACATCCCTTTAATACAGTCATGACTTTAATAGCGTATTACTATGTGTTTCTTAATTATACATTGGCTAGAGGTATAGGGGGAGGGTTGAGATCACACAAAACATGTTTAACCCCACCACATTTTTGCACCTGTCCCAAGTCAGGAGCCTCTGGCCTTTGTTAGTCTTGTATGTTTTTTAATTTTAGTTCATTTATATGTTTTGGAGTTTAGTATGATGTCCATTTTCACGAAACTAGTACACAATTTTATTTAGGGGCTAGCTGAGGACCACCTCCGGGTGCGGGATTTTCTCGCTGCGTTGAAGACCCATTGGTGGCCTTCGGCTGTTGTCTGTTCTTTGGTCGGGTTGTTGTCTCTTTGACATATTCCCCATTTCCATTCTCAATTTTATGACAGTTGTAATATGTGAATATAAGTACATGTAAAATAGAGGACATATGGTTACAGGTTGCAGTCTTGTAATTGACTGCTTCATAGGCTTACATACTGAACTGCTGATCTTTAAAGATAAAATGCAGCATAGAATTTTTTATACGACCGCACAATTTTTGCGTTTGTATTTAATGTTATGATGTTGTCAGCGTCGCCGTCATCCAAAGACATTTGGTTTCCAGACAATAACTTGAGTATACGTTTATGGATCTCTATGAAATTGTACCACAAGGTTCCATACTATAAAAAGGTTGGGATTGATTTTGGGGGTTACGGCCCTAACTGTTTAAGAAAAAGTGGCCAAAAACAATACTATTCTAATATTTTGTATAAATTGCTTATTTCTTGACCAATTTCAATAGGGTTTAATTCAAAAGTTTTGAATTCTTTGGGTTCTTTAATATGCGGAATCTAACCATGTAATAAGATTTAGGATTTTGGGCCCCATTTTTAAATTGACCCACATTGTCATTGAGTTCCAAAGGGCCCAAAATTAAACTTTGTTTGATTTCAACAAAAAATGAATTCTTTGGGTTCTTTAATATGCTGAATCATATTGTGTATTTATATTTATGATTTTGGGCCCGGTTTTCAAATTGGTCAACTTAAAAGTCCAAAGGGTCCAAAATTAAACTTTGTTTGATAATAACAAAAATTGAAAATATGGGGTTCTTTGAAATGCTGAATCTAACCGTGTAATTAGATTTTAGATTTTGGGCCCTGTTATTAAATTGGGCCACATTGAGGTATAAAAGGGTCCAAAATTAAACTTTTTGTTTGATTTCATCAAAATTGGAATTCATGGGGTTCTTTGATATGCTGAATTTAACCATGTATTTAGATTTTGGATATTGGATCATAATAGGGAAATGTCCAATTTCAAATTTTTAAGTTCTTGGACCACATTCATTCTGTGTCAGAAACATATGCTATGTCAAACATTTAATCACAATCAAAATTCTGAGCTGTATCAAGCATGAATGTTGTGTCCATACTTGCCCCAACTGTTCAGGGTTTGACCTCTGTGGTCGTATTAAGTTGGACATATGGAGCATTTTATTACATTTGATGTGGAAACTATAGTAAATAGATCAAAACTGTCAGCAGCAATAATGATCACAATCTACAGGAAAATCAATATGATTAAAAATGGTCAATAAACCCTTACAGGAGTTATTGCCACTAAATCACAGTTTTGAAGCTTTTTTTTCATTTTTGCCTAATACATGACTTTATTTGTATCCTGAAATCTATGATCTTTAATTGATGGATAAAAACTCCTGTCAAGCAAAAATTATCAGCAAGACTAAGACAAGATTTCAGCCAGCACAAATTCCCATTCTACACAAAAATTTTATTGCTTCAGTCTTATGCAAATATACCAGGTGAGCAATACATGCTTCATGGAACCTCTAATTAGTTGTGTCTTCATGGTAAAATTCTCCAATAGCACTTATTGTTATTTGCCAATGAATATGTAGAATTAAGTGATAACTCCTGTTAGCAAATGGTTATTATTTTCTTATTTTACAGGTTTCTATAACAGATAACAACAATCCAGGTCCAACTGGTGGCAGGGATGGACCACAACCTGTGGATTTTAGTCTTTTCTGGAGTGATGTAAATGCTAATACCATTAAAAACAACAGACAACATCTTGACTCTGGATTTTTTGAACAGACAAGTTTCAATGAAAGATATTGTATGAACACAAGTGGAGATAAATTTTCTACTTTTGATGATATCGTTTCACAAATTGTTGATGATGAGAATTCGTTATTCACATTTAACCATAGTTTGGACAATGCACAACATACATATGGAATTGAAAGGTAACCTACCTGTATGAAACAAATGACTGAAAATTTAGAAAATCTGAATAGAATTCTTCTTTACCAGTTCAGTCAACTCTCTTTGTCTGAAACTCAGTTGAATTGAAATTCTGCATGAGTCGTAATATTTCTGTTGTCTCGATGTTGAAATACAGTAGTTTATATTATTTATATTTATTCACACAGTTTGTGTCGAATTTCAAAGAGTCAAAATTTGGCTAGACTCGAACAAAGTATTAGTCCTTAGTTCATGATGTCATAATGTTACAGTTGGCTCTGTGTAAAGCATGGAATGCTCAAACAAACCAACTGATTTGTATTTTTATTTTTCCAAAGCCGGACCAGAAAGTTTAAATTATAGTTGGCCGCACGTAGAAATGTTTTACCAAACTCTTTATTCAATAAACTGAAAAAGAAAAAAAAGAGTAAAAAATTTTAAAGTACAGTAATAAAATACATGTAACATTAACAAAGGGATCCATCACAACAACTTTTCACAATTAAAAATTGCTAAATTTTTAACATACAGTATTTAAACAACGACAGTAAGGTGCCTGTAATTCAGTGGTTGTTGTTGGTTCATGTCTGTAATATTTGTTTAGCTAAAATTGAATTGTATAAATTGTTATTCTTCTCGTTTGAATTGTTTCACAATTTTCATGTGGGGGCCTTTTATAACCGTCTAAACTGTATGGGTTCTCATTGTTGAAGGCCTTACTGTAACCTATGATTGCTTTTATTTTCTCTGTTTGAACTCTGGTGGATAGTTGTCTCATTGGCAACCATACCACATCTTATTTTTTTTACAGGAAACGAAAACACTTGTCTCAAAGAAAAATGTACCGGGTAACATGATTTGTATCAATGTCCATTTTAGTACAATGTAAACAATACTGAAACAGACTTGTGCAAATTTGACTTGCCTCCCCTTGATTGATTTCAGGTTTGCACCCTTTGCGTCTTTAACTTGGGTTGACTTTAAATTCTATCACGTTCCCATCGGATTTGATATAATAAGAGTTAACTGTATCTTCATTTCCCATATATGTTTTGAATATGTATGGAGAAGTTGAAAGAAAACTTTTGAAGCTATTCCAAAAGTATTTAAATCAGTTTTGAAGATTATGCCTTGATATGAAAAAACAGTCTTTGAAGAAGAATGAAACTTTGGGCCAGACCCTATAGTTTTCACTTGAAATGTCAATCTTTCTGTGGTCCTTCTGTCTGTCAACAATTTTTTAAAACGCCAGGAATATTTTTATCAGTTATTTAACTAATTTCAGTAATTTTCCTTCTAAATTTTTAATCGCAAAAGTTGCTGGACTTGGTGAGAGCTGTCAGAATAGGACATGTTTGAAATGGGAAATGAAGGGGGTGATATCTGTCATGTTAATGTCTTATGGACATTTGAAGGTTGTTATTTTGTAAAATATTTATTATACTTTTAAATTTTTGAATTAAAGGAGCCAAAAAAGTGGCCTTATCATATCTTCTCCTTTTAAGAAACAGTTTTTGTAAATGCTAAAACTCCAAAAGTATGTGTAGGAGGCCAATGAATATGTTCACAGTTTTAAGCATAATATGTAGATGTACATATTTTTTGTGAAAATTTGCAAATTAAATTTTTGCTTTTGGACAATGTTGGAAGAACTAAGATTTTGTAAAAATATAGCAAATTATGAGAAACATCTTTTTTGATCTAGTATCATGAGTATTTAAATAACAACTGATATTTTGGTATCATATGCTACTCCAAATTGATTCCTAGTGTCAAAATTGATTTCTATGAAAATTCAAGGTGAAATTGCCATAAACACTTTTCTATTTTGTTATTTTTGTCTCACTTTGACGGAGTCAAAAAGCGAGACATAGGTATGCTGTTTCTGGCGACTGGCTGCATCCAATCAAAAAGCGCCTTTAAGATGATCACGTGTAAATGTAGAAAATGTAAATAAACAATTGCCATGTGCTGATCATGCTGATTGTGCAACAAGTCTTTACCCCAAAACATAGGACGATATTTAGTAACAATTCTAAAGTTCTTAATCAACTAATTAAAGTTCCTGGGTATGTTTCTCACTCAAATGTTGGAATGTCAACATACATTTTCGGTTCCTGCTTCACAAAATTTGTAAACACTAGACACAACCATTTTACATCTCCACATTGAAGAGAGTTCAAGTGCGGTCATTGATCAAGAATAATGTAGTCGGAATGGGCATGACTTTTATCAACCGGTAGATGGTGCAGCATTGTAATCACAAATGATGGCTTAATATGCCAAGGGTGGAGAGGAGGGGACTGGATCGTAACCCACGGCAAGGGAAGATGTGCCTCACACAAAAATGTGCAAGCTTGGCCCTAACATGATCAGTTTCTAGTAATTGATAGTAAACTTTAGGATTGTGCATATTCATTTTAGTCATATCAGTTATTATTAATTTGGTTTCAGCTCGCCAACGACACCAAGTAGTGCATGGTCTTCAGGAACTGATGATTTTGGTCCTAAAAGTTCATCAACAAGTTTTAGCTTTTCTGAAGTTTGGGACAGAAGTACAGCTAATGATATACTAAATCTTTCCAATAATCCTAACAATAATATCTTTCCTGTTGAAGATAAATCTTTCATATCAGAAAGTTCAGATGTTCTAGACGGAAGCCAGTCTGCACAATCCAAAGCCTTAGAGAGTTTGATTCAGGATTTACAACGCACAGATCTTTCAGTATTTGACAATTTAAATCAGTTTCCAATTTCAAGTACAAGGGCACAAGCTAGCAGCACACCTATTTATGGCCACACAAATGATACAAGACCAGAAATTCAGCAGAAAGCTAGAAGGTCCTTGGTTTTTGGACAAACAGAGCAGTCTAATGTTGGGCTGCAATCATCTAAACCAGGAATTAATTTAAAGCACATGTCTCAAACATTTTCTCCAAAATGTTCTTTATCTCAGGGTGCTGCAGTATTTCCAACTCGACCACAAGATGTGTTCACTACTACACAGGGATACCCAGCTTCCTTCACAACAAGCAATACAGTCATACAAGACCATGTCTTGTCTGAACCGAATGGATTTCACTCTCGTTTGCAATCTCAAAAGCATCATTCATACAGCTCACCAGTTGTTTCATCATCACAAAATAAATCAAGTTTTCGAGAACCTGACATAGGGTCACCACATTTATTGAGTAATACACAAGAGCTTAGACAGTTGGCAGAGCTTGCTACTAACAGCAACATTTTGTCTCATCCCCCTCCAGAACTTCATCGCCATGACAGACTTGGAAACTCTGATCCATATAAATTACCACTACCTGACAATTACATCCATGACATGCTTTTATCTCCCATTGTTGATCACTCAGTGGATCATGTCAATCAGAGAGATCTCATTTTGACCGATCAGTATGGCAATATTCCTCCCGCAATCCATCCTGCATTTTTGAAATACCACAACCTTGTCATGCCACCTGTTCTCATGCCACAAGGAGCCTTTCCAGCAGCAGATGCCCTAGAGTATGTTGCAGGTATGTTTATGAATAAGAATATAAAAGGAGATATGGGGTAAATTTTGATGGCAAAGCAAACCAACAACATGATCTGAATAGACAGCTAGAGTTAAACATGAGGTTCTGACATGATGAAAGTGTCATATATATGTGAAGATCAAAAACCATCTCTAGTTCACACAAATTGTGAAAGGAGTGGATGCAGTTATGGAATATAGCAACATTCTTCTAAATATAAAATAAGTCATCCTGTCTTATATTTTAGGCATCATTGACTCTCATTGTTTAACTTCCAAATTAAAATTTTAGATTTTTTATAACATGGTGTGTGTAAGGGGGAGTATAAAACTTTTTCCTATAGGTCACTTGACATACAGTTTACAGTAAATGTATTAAAGGTTTAAGTTTAAATTAATTTTTCAGATACAAAGTGACCTTCTATTATATAACTACAATAAAGGTGTGAGGATATATATAGGGGAGTATAACAGTCACCAATAAATAGTTGGTCGCTCTGACCTCTATGTTACACTTTATTGATTTATATTGAGTTTAACATCAAAAGTTACATAGTTCATTTTTATACCAACGCAAAAAAATTTTGTGGTCGTATATTGGTATGACATTGTCATCGTGTTCGTCATCCGTCGTCCAAAGACACATTGGTTTTCGTACAATAACTTTAGTTTAAGTGAATGGATCTCTATGATATTTTACTGTAAGGTTCAATACCACAAAAGGAAGGGTGGGATTGATTTTGGGGGTTATGGTACCAACAGTTAAGGAATAAGGGGCCAAAAATAAGCATTTTTGTAACTTCCAGACAATAACTTGTGTTAGTGTATGGATCTCTCTGACATTGTACCACAAGGTTCCATATCACAAAGGGAATGCTGGGATTGATTTTGGGGGTAATTGCCTTAAAATTTTAGGAATTGGGGACCAAAAAAGGGGCAAAAAACAAGCATTTTTCTAGTTTCATGACAATAACTTGTGTGTAAGTGTATGGATCTTTCTGAAATTGTACTACAAGGTTCCATATCACAAAGGGAAAGCTGGAATTGAGTTTGGGGGTAATTATCGTATATTGGTATGACGTTGGCGTCGTCGTCGTTGTCCGAAGACACATTGGTTTTTGCACTCTAACTTTAGTTTAAGTGAATGGATCTCTATGAAATTTTACCATAAGGTTCAATACCACAAAAGGAAGGTTGGGATTGATTTCGGGGGTTATGGTACCAACAGTTAAGGAAAAAGGGGTAAAAAATAAGCATTTTTGTAACTTCCAGACATAACTTGTGTGTTAGTGTATGGATCTCGTACCACAAGGTTCCATATCACACAGGGAATGCTGGGATTGATTTTGGGGGTAATTGCCTCCAAAAATTAGGAATTAGGGGCCAAAAAACGGGCAAAAAACAAGCATTTTTCTAGTTTCATGACAATAACTTGTGTGTAAGTGTATGGATCTTTCTGAAATTGTTCTACAAGGTTCCATATCACAAAGGGAAAGCTGGAATTGAGTTTGGGGGTAATTGCCCAAAACGTTTAGGAATAAGGGGCCAAAAATAAGCATTTTTCTAGTTTCCAGACAATAACTTGTGTTCAAGTCTATGGATCTCTCTGAAATTGTACTGCAAGGTACCATACCACAAAGGGAAGGCTGGGATTGATTTTGGGGGTAATTGCTTCAAAATTTCAGGAATTAGGGGCAAAAAAAGGGGCAAAAAACAAGCATTTTTCTAGTTTCAGGACAATAACTTGTGTGTAAGTGTATGGATCTTTCTGAAATTGTACTACAAGGTTCCATATCACAAAGGGAAAGCTGGGTTTGATTTTGGGGGTAATTGCCCTAAATTTTTAGGAATTTAGGGCCAAAAAGGGGCCTAAAAACAAGCATTTTTCTAGTTTCCAGACAATAACTTGTGTTCAAGTGTATGGATCGCTCTGAAATTGTACTGCAGGTACCATACCACAAAGGGAAGGCTGGGATTGAGTTTGGGGGTGATGAATCATAAGGGGGTTCAAAAAATTTGGGGGGGGATTTTTTTTTTCTTTAAAATTTTCCATTTTAAATTCGTTATTTCTGATTTATATATAAAAGCAAATAATAATGATATGGTTTGAATAGGTAAATTAAAAATGTTTAAGTTCTTAGACCACATTCATTCTGTGTCAGAAACCAGTGCTGTGTCAAATATTTAATCACAATCCAAATTCAGAGCTGTATCAAGCTTGAATGTTGTGTCCTTACTTGCCCAAACTGTTCAGGGTTCGACCTCTGCGGTCATATCAAGCTGCGCCAAGCGGAGCAATTTATTCTAGTTTCCAGACAATAACTTGTGTTCAAGTGTATGGATCTCTCTGAAATTGTACTGCAAGGTACCATACCACAAAGGGAAGGCTGGGATTGATTTTGGGGGTAATTGCCTCAAGATGTTAGGAATTAGGGACCAAAAAGGGGCAATAAACAAGCATTTTTCTAGTTTCAGGACAATAACTTGTGTGTAAGTGTATGGATCTTTATGAAATTGTACTACAAGGTTCCATATCACAAAGGGAAAGCTGGGTTTGAGTTTGGGGGTAATTGCCCTTAACGTTTAGGAATTTGGGGCCAAAAAGGGGCCAAAAAACAAGCATTTTTCTAGTTTCCAGACAATAACTTGTGTTCAAGTGTATGGATCTCTCTGAAATTGTACTGTAAGGTACCATACCACAAAGGGAAGGATGGGATTGAGTTTTGGGGGTGATGAAACATAAGGGGTTCAAAAAATTGAGGGGGGGATTTTTTTTTCCTTTTTTTCCTTTTTTTTCCCTTTATTTTAATTTTCTAAAATTTTCCATTTTAAGTTGGTTATTTCTGATTTATATATAAAAGCAAATAATAATGATATGGTTTGAATAGGTAAATTAAAAATTTTTAAGATCTTAGACCACATTCATTCTGTGTCAGAAACCTATGCTGTGTCAAATATTTAATCACAATCCAAATTCAGAGCTGTATCAAGCTTGAATGTTGTGTCCATACTTGCCCCAACTGTTCAGGGTTCGACCTCTGCGGTCGTATCAAGCTGCGCCCAGCGGAGCAATTTATTATAACCTTTTTGAAAATTAACTGAACTTTCTGACTAATATGAATTATCATCTAAAGATGTGTAAAAGTGAGACACATATCTACAAATTCATTTTTGGTCAGAGCATGTGGTTTATCTTTGAAAATAAAAAAAAATATACAGAAATAGCCCAGATTTGAGAACAAAATGCATGTTTATACGAACGCAAAAATTAAAAAATTTTTGGTCGTATATTGGTATGACGTTGGCTGTATCAAGCTTGAATGTTGTGTCCATACTTTCCCCAACTGTTCAGGGTTCTACCTCTGCGGTCGTATCAAGCTGTGCCCCAGCGGAGCATTTTATTGTATTTTGCAATTAAAATAATAGGACCAGCAGATTTTCTTCAAGGACCAGCAGGGAGAAAAACGATTTCGAGAACTCTGATTATACTGTTATAAAACAAATTAAATAGTATCAGTTCAGAATTTTCATGGACTTGCAGGGCCATTATTCTGCCTTTCCTAATTCTAACGTAAGCTTTACTCTGTTTATATATTACATTGTAGTGGACCAATTTGGAAGGCTGATACCAGCATATTATAGGCCAGAGATGTATTTAGATTTACAGAATTACATGTATGGTTTTCATCCTTTGCATCCAGGTTTAAGAAATCCTTTGAAGTAAGTCATTTTTATGCCCCACCTAGGGGCATTATGTTTTTCGGTCTGTGTGTCCGTTTGTCTGTCCGTCCGTCCGTCTGTCTGTCTGTCCGTCCGTCCAAAAACTTGAAGCAGGACAGACGGACGGTCAAGGTAGTTTTTGATGAAGTTGAAGTCCAATCAACTTGAAACTTAGTACACATGTTCCCTATGATATGATCTTTCTAATTTTAGTGCTAAATTAGAGTTTTTACCCCAATTTCACTGTCCACTGAACATAGAATATGATACATCATACTGCAAGTGATGCATCTGTGTACAATGGACACATTCTTGTTGACAATAAGAAAATGGTGTCTACCATATAGTATAAAGACATGATTTTATTGTTATATAAAAGTAAGAAAATGTGGTATGATTGCCAATGAGACATTCTCCACAAGAGACCAAATGACACAGAAATTAACAACGAGGTCACCATACGGCCTTCAACAATGAGCAAAGCCCATACAGCATAGTCAGCCATAAAAGGCCATGAAGTGACAAATGTAAAACAATTCAAATGAGAAAACTAACGGTCTGATTTATGTACAAAATAATGAACGAAAAACAAATATGGTATACAGTAACAAACGACAACCACTGAATTACAGGCTCCTGACTTGGGACAGGCACATACAGAATGTGGCAGGGTTAAACATGTTAGCTGGCGCCCAACCCTCCCCGTAACCTGGGATAGTGGTGTAACAGTACAACATATGAACAAACTATAAAAATCAGTTGAAAAGGGCTTAACTCATCAGATAGATACAAAGCACAAAAACAAGTAACAAAAACACAGGAGTGTTATTTTTATGTCATTAAGTGGCCTGAGCATAAAAGTGTTATCCATAAAAAATGAAAAGAACACTTTATAAACTTTATGCGTCTGCAGTGCTTTAGTTGATTTACCTTCATCAGGAACTATCAAAGCCAAATATTTGAAAGCCAAGGATTTATATATATATATACCGAAACACCTGAAGAGCTATAGGACTATTAAAAGGGACTTAAAAAAAGCAAAAATAAAAATAAGTAGATGTTGAATAATTGCCAATGAGACAACTTTCAATCAGAGACCAAATGACAGAAGTTATCAACTGTATGGCCTTCAACAATGAGCAAAATCCATACCGCATAGAAAGCTATAAAATTCTTCAAAAGGACATGTAAAACAATTCAAAGGAGAAAATTAACGGCCTGATTTATGTAGAAACAATAAATGAAAAACAAAAATGATATACATCAACAAACGTCAACCACTGAATTACAGGCTCCTGACTTGAGTCAGGCACATACAGAATGTGGCGGGGTTAAACATGTTTGCTTGCGCAAAACCCTCCCCCTAACCTGGGACAGTGGTGTAACAGTACAACATAAGAACAAACTATAAAAATCAGTAAAAAGGGCTAAGCAAATCCATATAAGTTCAACTTTCCCTGGGGGAGTTGGAACCTCAGTTTTTATGCCCCCGCCCTAACGGAGGGGGCATTAAGTTTTACCTTTGTCCGTCTGTACGTCCATCCGTAAATCCCAAAAATGGTTTCCGTTCTCTAACTTTTTTAGTTTACCCCAACCAAATGTTATGAAACTTATACACAATGCTTATCACCACAAAATACAGATCAAGTTTGAATTTTGGTGGTGTCACTTTAACTGTTCTAGAGTTATGCTCCTTTACAAATGGAAAAAATTGCTGAATTTTGCATATCGTTCTCTAACTTAAGTTAGCCTCAACCAAATGTTATGAAACTTATACACTATGCTTATTACCACAAAATACAGATCAAGTTTGAATTTTGGTGGCATCACTTTAACCGTTCTAGAGTTATGCCCCTTTACAAATGGAAAAATTGCTGAATTTTCATATCCGTTCTTTAACTTAACCTTAGTACTGCCAGCTATAGAGAGATTATCAGTTCACTGCAGTGCCATGATCCTAATTAGCCTTTGCATCTCACTATGCCAAGTTGTTTTAGAGAAATTTATCAGTGTTACACCATGTAATTGTTTTATCAATTTTCTATGATTTTTTAACATTTTAGAAAGTAACATTTCAATGAGTTTGTTTTGCAAAATTGAATGCACAATTTCACAGTATAGAATAAGTGACAGTGGATTATGAAATTATTAAGATATAGCAAATGAAAGTCGAAAAATTATGTTTTTACTTATTTGATTATTAAAAATATTTGTAAATCTCATTTAATTAGCAAAAAAAAGACAAATAATATATTTTATTATTTCATGACGAACTGCTTCATGTCAACCCGGTTGACATTGTCCTATAATTTAAACCACGAGTGTGAATTTTCCTTGAAAATCGTTATTTTACTTTTCAATATTGTTGCCCTTGCTCCGACTCAAAAAAGTCTAGTATGTATCCGTTTGGTTCTTCAACTAATTTTTTTATGAAATCTTAGTTAATAATTATAAACGTAAGCAATCTTTTATCTCCAACATCAAAGTTTAACTTCTTTTCAGAATCAAAAACGAGACCACGTGTATCCAGGTGTCTACGTATCCTAAAACAGCGCTATATGTTCTAGGTTATCCTCATCAAAACATAAATTCTTCGTCCGAATCATCTTGTAGATATATTTATCTTTCAAAATCACGATTTTCATGGTCTACTTCCTATAATTAATCAACTACTCTGTTATTGGACTTAATATGATGAAAACTGCCTTTGCTATACAAAAGTGTCAACTCGGCTAATATGGATTTTTTCTGTATTGGCCGAGTTCTGATCCGGCCAATACAGGATTTCGGAACGTCTCTAGTTTTTAGATCGAAAGTCATGATAAACACAAACTTAATGTAAACTGTAGTTTGGAAGACGCTGTTTTATTTACTCACCATAAACATGCTGAAACGTTCAGTGTGGCAAATATTTCAGGTCACATTCATTCAAAAAAGCATTTTATAACTGAGTAGACAATTGAATTATTTCAGGTTTGGTCAACGAGTCTGTAGATTATCACAAAGCTCATTTCTTGTCGACCTCATAACTATTTAAAACAGTTTATCAGTTTAATGGGTGCATTTCAATTTACTGTTTACTTTCGCTTCTCATGTTTTTGTATCATATATTTTTCATCCCGAACCTCTATGGATTGTTGAAGGATGACCTGTAATCTATTGATCAAGTCTTTGTTCTTTGGTCATGGTCTATGGATAGTTGTCTCATTGGCAATCATATTCAACTCCTAGTTTTATTTAGTCCTTTTGTTTCTGAATCTCTCATGCAATGGCAGTACCTTTCCAATTACTATTTATGTATTGCATCTAAATATGTATTGTAACACTTTATAGTGACTGAAAAGGGTTAACAAATCATCAAAAAATGTAGAAGACTCTTCCAAACATCATTTGACATTGCAGAGCTTATAAAAGGAAACTTAGATTTAGATAGTTCAATTTCAATGTAAAACATGTTAAAATCTTGTGAAAGGAAATAAAACACAAAAAAAAGGTAAACACTGTATGTACATAGTAAGTTAATTAATAAAGTATAGTAAGTTAATTAATAAAGATATCATTACGTGATTATTAAGTCTCCCAAACGAAGTTTGGGAAGACTTATTGTTTTTGCTCAGTTATTATTATTAGAATCATGTGCAAAACAGTGTAGGCGAGACCATTGATTGGCGCGCTAAAATATCCCATTGACTGGGTCAGATTAGGTGAACGTTCGTCTGTAACACCCACAACTCACGACGTATTTATTATAGACATTTAAACTGTGAGGTCACCAAAGGGTCTCAACGCCTAAATAAAATAATTCGAAAAACTAATCAAGAATAACCTTTGTGTTTTGATTTATATTGAATACTTAAACGTTCTTTACTTGTGTTTTCGTTATGTTTTGATAATCAATTTTTATGATATCGCACGTTCTTTCAGCAAAAAAAAAGGATTTAAATGGCTTTAAAAGTTACAATGCATGTGTTGATTATTATCTTTTTTTTTTCGGACGTCAAAGCGATTTAACAATTGCGGTTGTCCAATTATGTCATCTTTTAACTTTTATCTGGTCAAAATTTTATTTTAGAACGAATGCATGATCAACTTTAAAAAGTGTGCGTACACAAAACATATAGACAAAATATACTTCTGTCCTGTACTTTTTCGTACTTGCAAGTTATTACACTGAACTGCGGCCAAGCTTAGCGAAAGGTCGTGCAACATAATCATTGAAACAAACTTTATTAGATTAACTAGTTAAGGAACGATCGTTCTCATTGGTCAATTCAAACCTTCGACCTCACACCTGCGAAAATAGAACATGCGTACTATAAAGTTGAATGGACTGATCAGTATTCACGTAGCCGGTCAAGGTCGTTAAAAACTTCCATCGTCGTATTCACGTACATGATTGTGTTCTTGATTATCCCATGGCAATTTTAGCTTTAAATTTTTTATACATGTGCATGTAAAATTTAAACTTTAATCTTAACAGTCACGTCGGAATATTTAATTCAACTGTCTCCTCTCAATTGGTTCTGGATTAAGGGAGCTGCCATTTTATTTTGATTGGGGGTGGGGGACTTGGATGAAACATTTTGTCCTGCATTTTTTTTTTAGTTGTTATCGCTGTCCTGTCTTTCTATTTTTCAGTCTGTTAGGTCCTGACTATATTTATTAGTTTATCTTGATTTTTTTACATAAATCGTCATCCTGCCTTTTTTTTGTCAAGTTGCTCACCCTGCCTTATCTTTTATTCAATGGACTTGATGGAATTAATGTTGTACTTGAAATGAAACTGTACTTAACTACAAAAATAACCAAAATACATACTAAAGATATTGCTCGATTTATACAGTAAATGGGTTTGTGTTATAAACTGTCATGTTCATTATTCATATTCTTTCATAAGTTTTAGGATAGTGTGATTTTTTTTCTGATTCAGTTTACTTGATTTTGAAAAAAAAATCCCGAAATTCTAAGTAAATTCAGAACATGTAACCAGCCATGCTTTG